ACCCATTGTTTAGTTATCATTGATTTTTGATTGATTGAACTGGTGAATTGATCATATTCGGCCTTTTTTTTTTTTTTTTAATAAATTTCCCTTTGACTGCTATTATTTATCTTTATTATTAAAAAAATTTCTTTCTTTCTTTTTTCATTGTTCTTTTTTTCCTTTCCTATTTTATTGTTATTTTTATTTTTTTATTATAATATTTTGTTTTTTTTAATTTTAATTTTAATTTTTATTTATTTTTTTATTTATTTATTTTTTTTTCTTTTCGCCTCTGCGCAGGTCCCGTGCCGTTGATCTCATCCCATAGATCGAACCCTTACCTTAGTTTTCACCCGCCACAACACGCCCACTCCCCAATCTTCCTTCCCGAGCGCTTCTTCTTCTCTTCTTTCTGTTATTTTTATTTCCTTTTCCTCTTCTCTGTTTTCTTTTTGCATTTTTCCCCATTGCCCCCTGTCCCCGCCATCTCCATAAAAACACCCTTACTCCCTCCCCTACCAAAGCTCTCGATATATGCCCACCCCGTCTTCGATTTCCGCCTGTCCCGCCCATCCCCATCCCCTTCCCCTGGATCTGCGGAGAACGGCTAGTCCTATAACCTAAGACTGCCTGCTTTGCTGGTTCCCCTAGGACCTTCCGTTCCCTCCTTCCCGCCTCCCCTCCTCCCCTCCTTCCTTGTCTTCCCGTCCTTCCTTTTCTACTCCCGCAGCAGCCCGCGCCTGCAGTTTCCCGGGGCTCGGCACTCTGTTGGCTCGCTCCTTCCTCCATTCACTTGTTTGCCGCTTTCGGCACCTTTGCCCAATTCCCCTTCTTGGCTGGCTGACACATCGTTTTGCTTTGGAGCTAACTCAACACTACTTCTTTCACTTCTCTCCTTTTCTCCCTCAATTCTACCTCTACTTCTTCGAACCCCATAGATCCTCTAGGTCGTCTCTCCAGCTAAAACAAAAAGAAGAAAAGAGAAAAGATAAGAAAAGAAAAGAAATAAAAATTTCCGGCTATCTCAACCAATTTCGCTTACTCTCCTGTCCCTCCGCCGACAAATCGTCTTCCGTACTCCTGCTCTTTACCCCATTCGACCAGATCTCTCTCTCTCTCTTTTACTCAGCCCCATATATCTTATATACGCGGTCATTTCTGCGGATTGTCATATCCACTAACCCGTAGCGGTCTTGTCATGGAAGCGGATTAAACGTGGTGGTGTTTACTTCCTTTCTGTGCGGGCTTAGAATTGGGAATTGCTGCTGGAGGCAGGATGGATATCACAGGCAATGCAGAAGATGGCGGCGTGTTTTCGTTATCTCACGGGGCGATGAGAAAGATTCTCGATTCCACAAGAACGCTGTCTCCGGCCATAATCTTTGTCGCCTTTCTCATATCGTTCTTGTCCCACTCCATAATATCTGCTAGGAAAATACCTGCCCTCCAGACAGCCGTACAAACAGGTCCTGGGGGTCGACCGCTACCGAAGCGTATGCGGAGTAAGGCTGTACTATCTCCCTCTACGCCTGATTTCTCACCAAATGCTAAATCAGCATTCAAATGGCTCTCAGTGGGCATTTTGCTCACTCTTGTTGCTGATGCAACGGTTATTATCCTCCAAGTCATTCTGTTCCGGGAAATGCACTGGTGGTGCGGCCAGTCCACAGTGGTGAGAATTTCCACCTCTGTTTATTTCCTTTAAATTTTTTCCCCCCATGTCCTTTTGATTACTTATATTTCTTACATTGGTGATGATTTCTAGATTTACGTCGTCTCCTCTTTCTTCACATACACCCTAATCCTGATCTCTCTGGTGGATACAACTCCCTCCCCGACTGTCGCTCAGCTAGTCCCATGGGTCTTGTCTGTACCACTGGAATTAATAATATTTGTCTGTTCCCTAACCCTCTATACCTCCCCTCACCATGAGCCAGTTGTAGGGGACCTTATCGGTGGTCCGTTGAGGAAAACTATCACTGGCTGGGAATCACTGGAAGTAGTCATTGCTGCAGTGAGACTTCTTGCTCTGCTTACCATTGTGGTTTTCTATGCCCTGAATTCCATTGGATGGGAAAGCCGTCGTCGTAAGGCTGCGGCTCATTTCGCTTCCGGGGAAGCTTCAGAGACAACCAGACTCCTAAATGGCCATCATAACGACATGAATGGTGATGGCGATGGCTACCACACATCTTCTACAAACTCTAAGCACAACCACGATTCTAAACCAGTTGAGGACGCCTGGGTAAGACCAACTACTGTGCCGTCAACGAGTTGGTGGGAATATCTCAGTGGCTATTCCCTGTTTTTTCCTTATCTATGGCCTTCCAAGTCCCCACGCTTGCAGCTGGTGGTCGTTGTCTGTTTTTTGTTGGTCGTCCTCCAGCGCGTGGTCAATGTTCTGGTTCCTTACCAGGTTGGTGAAATAACCAATGTTCTTTCCAGAGAGGATGGAGGTAGATTCTACTTTCCGTGGGGTGGTATCTGCCTCTATGTCTTTTACCGCTGGCTACAGGGAAGCCAAGGCCTAATCGGTTCTTTGCGTTCCATTTTATGGATTCCTGTTGGACAGTATTCGTACATGGAACTTTCAACTGCGGCTTTTGAGCATGTCCACAGCCTGAGCCTTGAATTCCACCTGGGGAAAAAGACCGGCGAGGTGTTGTCTGCCTTGAGCAAAGGCAGTTCTATCAACACGTTCCTCGAGCAAGTTACATTCCAGGTTGTCCCTATGCTGATCGATCTCTGCGTCGCTGTGGGTTATTTCTGGATCGTATTCGACGTTTACTATGCCCTGGTCGTTGCCATTGTCACTTTCATCTACCTCTACGTTACAATTCGCATGGCGCAATGGAGAGCTTCAATCCGTCGTCAAATGGTCAATGCAAGTAGACAGGAAGATGCTGTGAAGTAAGTCCATACTTGAGTTTTTACGAATTCGATCTGATAATTTTTTGTATTGGCTAACTGAACGCAACACGTCATTTTCTTCAGAAACGATTCGATGGTGTCTTACGAAACCGTGAAGTATTTCAACGCGGAGCAGTACGAATTCAAACGATATCGCGGAGCGGTTTCCGATTTTCAAAGGGCTGAGTATCATGTGTTGTTCTCGCTGAACTTGTTAAATACATGCCAGAATACCGTTTTCATGTTTGGGCTGCTAGTGACATGTTTCCTTGCTGCATATCAAGTTGCAACAGGCGAACAAAAGGTTGGCAAGTTCGTTGCCTTATTGACCTATATGGCACAGCTTCAGGGACCACTTAATTTCTTTGGGACATTTTTCCGGTCTATCCAATCTGCGTTGATAAATTCGGAGCGGATGCTGGAACTCTTCCGCGAACAGCCAACCGTTGTTGATGGCCCGAACACGAGTGAACTTCCACGCTGCAAAGGCGATATTGTCTTTGACAACGTGGAGTTTGCATATGATCCTCGCAAACCTGCATTGAACGGGCTAAGTTTCCATTGCCATCCTGGAACAACCACAGCGCTAGTTGGTGAGTCTGGCGGGGGGAAATCAACCGTGTTCCGGCTGTTGTTTAGGTTCTACAATGCCACCAACGGTGATATTCTCATTGACGGCCACAAAGTTGAGGACCTAACGATTGATTCTCTCCGTCGACATATTGGTGTTGTTCCTCAAGACACAGTTCTTTTCAACGAAACATTGATGTATAATCTCAAGTACGCAAACCCGTCTGCCACGGATGACGAAGTTTACGATGCATGTCGGGCAGCGAGTATTCATGATAAGATTCTTGCATTCCCAGATGGATATCAAACGAAAGTTGGAGAACGGGGTCTGCGTTTGAGTGGTGGAGAAAAACAGCGTGTGGCTATTGCCCGCACAATTCTCAAGGACCCCCGAATAATTCTCCTCGACGAGGCTACTGCTGCCCTTGACACTGAAACCGAAGAGCACATTCAAAGGGCGTTGTCGACATTATCCAAAGGGCGCACAATGCTAGTTATCGCGCATCGCCTAAGTACGATAACGACAGCTGACCAGATCCTTGTGTTACACAACGGGCAAGTGGCCGAAAGCGGAACTCATGAACAGCTCCTTAACCTAAAGGGAAAATACGCGAGCATGTGGCGAAAGCAGATTCGCGCGCAAAAAGCAGCTGCAGAGGCGCAGGTATTACAGGATCGTGCCCAACGGCTACGGAGCGCATCTACAGTAGGTGGGGATGATAGTTCTAGCCAATCGGATGAAGAGAGGAGTGGCTCAAGCTCGAGCTCGAGGCCGGCAAGACCGCCATTCAATCAACGGGCGACCAAGGTATCTGAATCGCTAGGGGCCACAACATCATGAAATATACCGAAGATAGTAGTGTAGCAAGGCATGATGTGAAAAGACCCATTTTGTTACTGGTGGAAAATGTTAAACCAGGACAGAGGAAATAGGATATACAGAGGAAGAAAGTTGTTACCAAGAGGGACTAAATAGAGGTTCGTGGAACATTCAACGGTTGTGGAATCCCATTACTTCTTTTTTTGGGCAGGCGTTAGGGTCCACCATGGGGTTGTTGGTAAGCTGTGTTTCTTGCCTTCTTGCCTTTTTAAATTCAATTTTGCGAATTGCTTTCTCTTTTGAAGTGATATGATATTTATTATCTTACCTATTCTCTGAAGCGCCTGATATTTTTCCCACTCTCCCTTTGTGTTTCTGTCCTCGGCTCTTTTTTTTCTTTTCTTTATTTCTTTCTTCTCCCCCACCGTTCAAGCCCATGGTTGCTTCTGGGCCGAATAGTTGTGCGGATGATTAATAATTGGTTCTTTCTTTTTTTTAAGAAAAGTCTATCATCTCCGCGCTCCCCCTTTGTTTGCACCCCCCTCCGCGAGAGAACAAGTAGGATATTTTCTGCTTTTGTGGCTGTGTTGGATAGTGGTAGATAAGCATAGATGTGATAGCTGAACACCTATCAATACGAAGCAATTTAGCAATTTGTTTCATTTTCAGGGAAGGAGACTGGTTCGGATGAAAGTAGCGAAGTATCACTGAAGCACTCATGGTCTCCGTGGGTGAAGTTGTAGTTGTAGTTGTAGCAGCTTACCTACATGGGTTGAGGAGAGCGGGCTGGGTAAGGCGCGGGAGGAAACCTGGGAATGAAGAGGGCGGAGCGGAGCTTGGACCACTTCGCGCTGCAAAGACTTGGCATTTCTATGCCAAGACGCTTATTTCCCAGCTCTCGATTTGCCGGCTGCGGGAGCGGAAGGCACAAACAACAGTTACAAGCGAGGGAATGCATGATGCCTTCCGGGGGTTATTTACGGTATACAGGAGCATATCCAAGTTTTATTGTTCCGAGATGATTATCTTGAATGGAACATCTTGATTTCTTGTAAATCTTTAGAAATAAATAAAAGTATTAAATTTCTCATAATCATCTCAATATCATTAAATAATATGTTTTTGATCTTGCTTTTGCCCTATATTCACTTCTTAATACTAAGTGCTCAATTGAATATAATATTTATTATTTTTTTCTATTTTCTCTATTATATCAATTTAATAAATTAATAAATTATTTAATAATTTTAAAAAATAATTTTAACTATTATTACTATTAATTATTATATAATACTAAAAAAAAAAAAATTAGTAATAAATATATTTTTATAGTAATTTATAATATTTATGTAAGGGTTCTAACCCTGTGCTTGGCTCAGGACCAAGTTCCTCGCAGTTCTCTTGCACGCGCGCGCCACCATTAGCGCGCTATCATTAGCTCCTTGCTAATGACTTACGCACAGTACTATTTCTTTTCAACGTCTGTTACTGTAAATTCCTTTTCTTTCTTTTCTTTTCTTCCTTTCCTTTCTTAAGCAATTCTTCATGTATATTAGACACTCTATACAAGCTATTAAGCGATAGATCTTCAGGTGACTGCTGCTTGGGCACCAAATATAACATATGGCTAGGATAATCAATGTTTCGAGCATGGCGGGACGTTCGCTCTGACGGTGCATCGCTGCCCGACGTCTAGTCTTTTAAATCTATCTGTGTTCTTCGGCGGGGTAGAAGCTCCAAGATCACCTTTTTCCGTCACATCAACCACCACACTCGCCTTCATTTGAAACGATCGATCTTCTCATACAAGAAGTCATGTCCCTCACCCAAAACAGCCTCGACAGTGACCTGACCTGAGTAGGTTCGGCTTCGTCGTTGTAGGAAAGATTTCCTTAAAGCTCATCGAGAAGCTGCAGACACATTTACAATCAAAGAAGGTCTCGCGCATAGTCCACCAACACAGTCAACTGGAGTGGAATAGTGACTGCGATGCCATCTTTAATGATTTCGAAACGGTAAGCTGGAAACATGAAAACCTAAGAAACGTGACTGATTGAAGGATAGAACCTCAAACCTAAAATATCATCAGTCAAGGATAGGCCTTGCCTTCATCGTCGTTTTGTCTACTTCCACGAGTTCCCGATCCGTCGGCCATTTTTAAACCTCCTGTTGGACAGAGGCGATTCGCCGTGTTAATTGTGGTTAAATCGGGTTCTGGATTTCTGCTCTTGTGTTTAGGGTCATAGGGGAAGGGACTGGAGGCGGGAAATCCCCTGTGGTTTCTATAGCGGAAGTTCCCCAGGAAGATGGTATTGTTGCTATCATTGATGCAAACCTAGCGCGGCAGGATTCTCCGACGAAACATAAAGACAATGGAGGTTCCTGCATTTTACTGGCGTACTGACAAGAATATGAAATATGATCTATGTCAAGAGGCTGCTCAGACTTTCAAATGTATTTTCAAGTCTTTGCATTATTAAATGAACTCTGATTGGGCCACTGGTTTGGGGGTGGGGATTGCTAATATTTTCTCTTGTTCACAATGCGCTAAATCCGAGACCTGTCAGAGCAATGAGCTCCGAGACTGACGTTCCTCTCGGTTTTCGCCAAGCAAGCCCTGTGCAACAAGGAATTTAGGCTACTTCCCTTGTCTGCATTGTAGAGGGGTGAAGCCAAAGGGTGCGAGCCATGCACAGTCCTCATACCATCCATAACCCAATGGGTACACATAACAAATCCGTTTTATGTACTTTAGGTGCCGTCTCAGTGCTGGAGGGTCTATTAATTTTTTCGAAGCCTTAGTGCAGATAGGGCGACTGAAGCGAAGAAAAAGATCTAGAATATCTGCGTGGATGACAGCATGCCAAGGGAAGATTGAGTGGTGATAAGAATGGGCAACAAACAACGCTAAAATTTCGAAGAACCCAAAGCTGCCAGTGCCCCCCACCAAGCTGACAACAATCCAAAGGCTGTCAACAGGATGATAACTTGGCCCTCTCCCCGCACGTGTCCATGGAATAGCATGCCCCCACAATCTCTTCACAGGAACATGCGCCACGGTCGGTAAAATTTCGATTGAGAAATAATCTGTCTGCATTGTCTGTCGCCATCTTCCACCTCCAGTACACTTTTGAGGTGTTGGAAAGGACAAGGTGCGAGATCGCCATGAATCTGGTCATCTCCGAACGGCTTGGGTGAAAATTCTGACTTTGATAGACGTCATGTCGACTAGTTCAGGACAGAAGGGATCTTGTTCCCTCTGCGGTCATCTTAACGACCAGCGCAAATATGAGCGGTAACCATATGGTCAAGGCACTGTCAGCGGACAATGTCGCCAACGATTCAAAAGATGTCAATCACGAGCGCACGACGACTACGTGATTTGCAAGAAGTGTCCGTACCATCCGAACGAGCTTCAAAATCTGGAAGGGGGTTCACCTGGCTGGAGTATGTACGAAGACTTGACAGAAGGGTAATAGCTGGGTTGAAGGGCATCCATTGGTAGGATACATTTCATGTTTGACAAAGCCAGTTCTCCACACAAGTTGGAGAGTAGTAATGTGATCGCTTTTTGTCACCGCTTTCGTTATCAGATATCTGCTCTTCGCTTTCATCCGTGCACTCATCATTGGAGATGGAGCTTGTCAAGTATTGTTCCGTTTCATGGTCTGCATTTGATATTCCCTCCCGCTGAAGCCATCGAAGAACTGCCTTTGTAGAATCCTTTGATGCTCTGTTAGCATCTAGATATTTCATTTCAATAGGAGTGGCCAAATCGATTTTGATATCAAGATGTTGTTTCCCGATAGCATCACTCTCACAAGGATATCCTGTATCTTGATACTCTCCGCTAGCTTCTGACCATGACCAGTGTTTTTATTTCAAGAAATGTCGTGATCCGCATTTGGAATGGATCTGCACCTGAATCATTGCATCCTGCAGACCAATTGTGCCAATGGGCCGCCATGGTGATATAGGGCATTCGTGAGCCCATAGAGGTTCAAATAAATATAGTAGCAATGCCTCCTGCGACCTGGATATCTGCTTGTTCTCTGAAGGGGTTGAAATCGTGCTGCAAAGGAATGATTGGGAAGAATGGGTCCACCAGGCCGATGAGTGGCTTATTGGAGGGGTGGCACTTTTAGCCATCTGAAAGATGTATTCATGTATCCCACTGAAAATTGCTCCAGTCCACCAAGCTGCCAATGAAGGACAGTATCGACTGAGAACAGAGGCAACCTGTCCATGAGGGAGAGTTTCTAGCATCTCAATACCCGGTAACAACCACTGGCTGCAAAATACACATGGAACTGTGCTGTGAAAAAAGGTTGAGCACAGTACAGGGACCAGTCCATGTAAGCTAATTGTCATGAGGTATGGTAGCAATTCAAATGAAGCCTTCATGTCAGCATCTTTTTCATCATCTTAAACTTCCATTTGCCGCAGTGGAGATTCAGCAGAGACCAGTCTGACAGGGACACCAGTCAAATTATGAGTGGGAAACATTAAACTGGTTGCTAAGCCCATGAGACATTGTTCCTGAATCTTTTTCTGTTGACAGAATTGTGAGAGAGGAATTCAAATGCTTGCTCTGATGATGCAACACTGACATGTGTGCCACTGTCCCTAACTATAGCATGTACAAGGAATCCTGATGCGACATCATTGCTGACAGACCATGGTGAATAGTAGTTATGCTGCATTGTAGATATGGTTGCTTCCCAGCCAGCCCCTGGAGCCAGCACAGCTCTCCACCATCGGAGCTCATTAGAGGTCACATCACCCAAGTCCACAGTCTGGTCTAGAGAATGCAAACAAGCTTCTTGAATGCAGGCTGCAAGATTGTCTTGGTAACTGATCTGTCGTCCCTGAGACTCTGCCCAACGAGCTGACAGAATGTACGCCCAACAGTAAGAAAAAAAATAGCAATATTGTTGCCATGTGCATCCGCTGAGAAGCCGTCTTTGTGAACATTCATAGTTCGCCCCTCTTGTATAATGGGTGTTCCAGCGATTTTGCAGCTTGTTGGTGTTGAGATTCCCAACAGAAGACGCTCCTCAAGCTCTAAATGGTTGGAATCGCAGCTTCCTTCGCCAATGCACCAATATGATCGACACTTCAGGGTGAGATTTCTCCGACCGACTGAATATGATTCGTCTCTGCTGGTAGTGAAACTTGGTACATTTTGGAGTGCAGTGTCCAGCCTGATACTCGACCGCGGCAGCGTAGTAGCTTCGCGAATGCAGGAGCGCCATCGATCCGTGCTGGCTCGTAGGACCTCGTCTCGACCGGGCTCCGTGGGAGCCGGAAAGTAAGAATCCATGAAGAACGTTTTCGGCCCGACACCTGATTAGGTAGATTCCATAAAAGGGTACGTCTATGAGTTGAAGAGAAACTTAGCAAATGTTTGGGATGGGATTAAGGAACAAGGATTTGATACGGTTGCGGCACGTTCCACGTGACAATTCCCCGCTTTCCCACATAAATATTTCCACGTGACACGAATGTAGGGGCAGCCCATTTCTTCTAATAGACATGGCTCCGCGTCAAGCGAAACACTACAAAGGAAGACGGCAGCAGCCGTCTACGTTGCAGATTAAAGGGAATGGTCGGTTGCTCGTCTCCTACCGTCTTGCTCTTCACTAACCACCGCCAGTGAGCCGACCTCGAGGCATCCGGAAAGAACTCCAGAGTCCCTGCCGAACAAGGGACCGCTCCTATGAGGAAGGAACCATACCAACCAGCCGATCCCCACTTCCAGCGAGTTGCCCTCCTATAAAGACCGTATGATATAGCCGCCGCAACCAATGCTGTGCAAGAAACTAATTTTAAAAACAGCAGAACCCCCTAAACTTTCAAGTGAATGACCATAGACGAAAGCGAGCGTGTGATACGGGGGAGCCATTTGGGCATCATGTCAAACGTCTTGACAAGCGACAGCGTACTCTTACCAACGCTGGTGAAGACGCAGTGAACGGGACCAGTGAACCAACGAACGCCGATCTCCCTCTGGTTGCCCAAACTGTCGATCCAGATGTATGTTTCCCATCGTTTTAGTGATTCCAACAGGGGCTAATTCTTCTAAGATTCTCCACAGTCTACCAATATCACCGCCAAGGTGTAAACATAAACGACAGGATCCCGAACCTAAGCATTTACCTGATAATTCCAATCCGCCTTCAAAGCGGCCACGAACCGACATCAAATTCACAGAATATTGGGCGCTTCACGAATACGAGTGGCCTCAAGAGCCTTTGGGACCCGATCCTATGGAGCACTTTATTGCGCGATCGAAAACTCCATCTCTTCGCCGGACGGAGTCAAGTGGTAGTTTGAACACTGCGAGCGAAACGAGTTCACGAGAAGCGAAGAATAGACCTTACACTGACAAGAACTATGATACATATCTTGAGACTAAGGGCTGTTTTATGTATGACCATGATGATGGTATTGATGGTGACAGCAGGTCTGTCTGTCATCAAATACTGAACGCGAATCCCGAGGTCCCTAAGGAAACTGTGTTTCAAGAAGGCGATTTTGAGTCAACGTGTCGAAGGATGCAAAGGAAAAATGAGACTGGAGTTATTCGCATTATTGGTGAATTAATCGTTCCGTCAGCAGAGAGTGCAATTGATCTCGGTCGGGTCACATTCCCGCATTTGGTTGTCAGTGTGAATGAAGGTTGGGATAGCTCGATTTCTCTTGATGAATCTCAACAATTACCACGAACTTTACCGTCTTTACAAGCTCCGCAGCCTTCGCGATCTCCACAATTTCGATTACCAAAGCCGCAGCCGGATTATGCTGTGGGTTTCACCCGACAGGTTTTTACTGAAACTCAGCTTGAAAAGCTTGCACCTTTTGTCGGCGAAATTGGTGACACTTCTTTCTTTATGAGTACGGCATTCATGTACTTTCCGTTTATGACAGCTGAAGTGAAGTGTGGAAAGACAGCACTTGATATAGCAGATCGACAGAATGCGCATAGCATGACCCTCTCTGTAAGAGGTGTTGTCAAGCTCTTCAGGCTTGTGAAGCGTGAGAAGGAGCTACATCGACAGATTTTGGCCTTTTCAATTTCGCATGATCATCGAATGGTCCGGATCTACGGTCACTATCCAGTAATCGATGGAAAGAAAACTACCTATTATCGGCATTCCATTCATGAGTTTAGCTTCGCAGCGCTGGATGGCAGAGAGAAATGGACATCTTATAAGTTCGTGATGGGTGTGTATGACGACTGGGTACCTTCTCATTTTAAAAATTTTTGCTCGGCTATTGATGAGCTACCAGAGGTGAACTTTTGAGGTATCGCAGCAGTCCGAGCCGAGTTTCTCAGAATCAACCGGGCTTTCACAGGGGATTGAAGGTGTCGATGTCCCAAGACTCAAGTCTTACATCTATATTGGGAGAGGAAACCCGGCCGACTCTTCCCATCTCACAGGTTGCTCCCTCGCGTGCTCCTCCAGTAACGCGGGGAAATGAAAGCAAATCCTCAGAAGCAATCAAGATGACAAAGAAAAGATGCAAATAGTTATTTTAGATGATTATAGAAACCAAGGAAATGATGATCCACCTGGACAAGTTTCCGTACTAATGAACCATTATTTCATCCCTACCTCGATGGAACGAGTGAACGCTAAAGATTTGTCTCAAAGAAAGGATGGATGGCGAAAACCAGCAAATCCTTCACTCCGTGACTCATAACCGCGAAAAAGATTTCCCATCGGGCTTCAATGGCTTTCGAGGACTCCGGCCGGAGGAGTAGGCGAGCTACCAAAACAGGATCCCGATCGGCCTAGGCTTTCCTTCTCGGATTCTACTACGGGAGACCACAAATGCTGGGATCGTTTATTTTGTATGGTACCTTCCGGGCCGTCCCATTCACTGTCACAACCCTCACCGATATAGTTGGTCAGTTTGATTGTCCCCAACTTATTAGCAAATGGGACGGCGCCAAGTGCCGTTCTTGTCTAATTGCCCAGTTTGCTAAGTGTAGTAAGAGGTATACACCACCTGCGGGGGTAAATTCTTCCCCGCCGCACTCACATCCACACTTTTCTGCCAACTCCAATACCGTTCTGGCGTTTCACAGAACTGGCACTGGGCAAGGATATCTCGGATACGGGAGTGGCCTCGTGGCAATGGAAACCACGGTTGCTTCATGAGAAATTCTCTCGTGAGGAAGGATATGGGAGGGCTTGTAGTTATCCGATCGTGCTTCGCAACGGTATCTAGCATATATGTTTCAAAGTGGGCTATGTCTGGTTGCCTTTCGTGATTGAGATCCCGCTTGGAAATCCATCGTCTTTTTTCTAGGGCGGAAAACATGCAGCTTCAATACACTAAAAATAGAACTTCCTCGTAGATGTCACATGAGCATCGACCAGGTGATTAGCCTGCGTTCGCGGATCGCCTGGATTTCCGGATATCTGTCCAAATCTGAAGTGTTCGCTTCTACCATTCTGCGGTTTAACGTAACTCGACCTCACGACGTCCTCGATTCTAGACCTACCGAGTGAGTTGGGTTAATTCTTCACATACTGCAAATAGATTCAGCACCCACTCAGTTACGATATACATCGTGACTAACAGCTTTGCTCGGCATCCCACTGATATTTAATTGATTTTATCCTACGCTTCAGCTTAATCTCAAGAGAAAAAAAGATATAGACCACCTCTCTCTTCAATGTGTTAATTAACAGCATGAATCTTCCTTCCAACGCCCTAGCGACAGGATACCTCTTTTTGTCCACACAGCATGAGCTCCCATCGTCTCACATAGTCATCCACCTCCAGCCATGTTTGGTTCTCTTCTGGGGAGTTCAGGAGATCAACCGGCCGCTCAGTCGGAGAGGTGAAAGAGCAATCAATCGAACGGACATGGGCCTCTAAAACATTCCGGAGCCGCATGAGAGGCTGAAGAATGAGTTGGATGGCCTCAGAGGCTCTCTGTTTTCCTGGTGAATTCCTAAGGACGATGGACACATCAAGGGTGCTGATATGCGGATGAACTGCTTCCAGTCAATCAATCAGCCTCTGCAGAGTGCTACATGTGGTAGAAACAATGCAATCCCAGAATTCAGAATACTCAGGCCCAGACTGCGGCTGCGCCTGTACAGAAATCCAACCAGTAGTTATTTGACGGCGGAAGGACCGCATCTCAGAAATCATCAGCCCACTGAGAACACACAATTGATCTTGACTTAATATCCCTTCCATCAGTGTGTGATTCATTCTATAGTCTGCGTTGATATGTAGGCCGTGTTGCTCTGAAATTGTAGGGAGGTCGGCACAGTTATAGGTATAACCGGCGATGGAGAACGAGCATGGTGTAACGTGTGAACTGCGAGTGGAACGGAGTGATAAAGGATGGAGATTGCCTCATTATATGTATCTGATGGTGGCAGGTTTGAAGGATCGCGGTCTTGGTTCCTGCTCCATCCGACTGGAGGGGTGTCTTGTCATAAAACTCGGCGGGAACGATTACAGCAGATATGCATATATCTGTAGTCTTAATTCGCCGGTGCTGGGGGGGGGGGGGGGGGGGTCTCCAAAAACTGACACGACATTATGTGGTCGGTTCTTGTAGCAAATGATAAAATTCAGAGAGTGAGGATTTCTCAACCAAAAGCGGCAGTGGTTGGGCCTTGTTGCTGGAACCCGCTACATACTACAAACAAAGTCCAGATGAGAGCCTCTTTTATAATTCACGTATTCTGTCCAGTGTGGCCCCTTTGCACCATTTTGCCGGTTCCTGGGTGCTTGCCTGCAAGGTTGTATTCTTCCAGGTGCCACTGTTGCCTCTGGAAATTGGAACAGACTGTGCCGCAATCTTTCGCGGCGCTGGGGAGACCCAGACCATTCACTGATGATTGTCAGATTCTCCATGCTGCGCGGCACAATTTTCGCTGATGAATACTTGGGGAGCTACACAATAAAACTACCTTCTCCTCGATGCCGTAAAGACCCTATTTTGCTGACGGATCAGCGACTACTAAGGCTGGAGAATCCGCAGATGATTTCCTGCTATGCGTGGGCACACTTCATGATAGTTTGATTGGTGGTCATCCTATAAATATGCAAGATTGCTAATTGCTAGCTTAGCTGCTAATTTACCACCAGGGATGAGCAGCCGAAGATCAGGTTTTGTCCAGGCCCCCCCCCCCCGCACACTATTTTATAAGAGTAGAAAACAACGCGGTGACTGCAAAATGTCAATATTTACTCCCAGGAGGGATCGATTTCAGCTGCAAATCAATGACTTCACGCGCTTGTCCCGGAAATGATTGTTGCTGAGGGCCGATTGTCAAAACCAAACAGCGAAACATGCTGGATGAGCCCCGAATAGGTATAGGCTACTGAATCACATGATGTAATAATAGATTGGTCTCGCATTACATCACGTGATGTACGCGTATAACCAGTTAGCTGGCCCCACCAATGAATCACGTGGACATGAAAGTTACAGGGGTCCAACGGTTATCTCATCATAAAACACGACGAAGATCCCAGGTGAAGTAAATGAATGCCATATCATATTTTTCTGTTGGCCGCCATTTTGATCAATGGTCCGGACCGACCATCGACCAAGGTTACTACCCGCCTATTACCTCACACGACAACCACACGGGCAGCTGAGAGCAACGAGATGTGGATGCCCTGCTAGTGGGATTTAGTTTTCATGGGGCTTTACAGTTTTCCCGCAGTTTGATTGTTTTGGCCGCTTTTAAAGTTTTGGCCGCTACATCATCAGTGGAACCATCTTTGTTTCCCTAGTATTGATGATATGTTAACAACATGATTAGGTCAACTGTAGAGAATGTTAGTTGGAACTACTTAGGAAAAGTTATGACTTTTGCTATATTAAAGACAGTCACATGCAGTGACCCACATGGGCGTCCTAACTAACCGCCTGGTGCGAGGTAATATGGAAAAACACCGACTTCAAGATGGGAGAGAGTCAGTCGGGAAGACATCAAACTTATAATTCCTTTTTCACTGCGAAGGAAAAATGGGGGGAAGCAAGAGACTGTCACCCCAAGTTCGCAAATGGTTCCCCGCAGTGGGAGGCAACCATGTTGGGAGCGAAATCTCTGAATGATTTAGCTGCTTTCCAGGTGGAGCAAGTTGGGTGGAGACTCGTGTGTCCCATTGCCCCCCATCATTCGCCAATGATGGATCTAACATGACCCGCACATCTTCCCTAGTGATTAGTCTCTATTAAATTAAACTTAGTATATTTATAATTAACTAAATAAAAATATTTTTATAAAAATTTAAATCATATATAAATTTTTATATTAAAAAATAATATAAATTTAAAAATATATTTTATCAACTTAATATACAATTTTAAATCTTATATATCAAGCTTAAATATTAAATTAATTAAATAAAAATTCATAAAAATATCATTTTTATAAACTTTTTTTCAGAGTTTTATTTCAAGTTTTTAAAATATAAAATTAGAATTAAGATAATATTATCAAAATCAATATATAAAGTAAAAACTTATTATTTATATTAAATATCTTGCTGATTTTTATCAATTAAATAATAATTTTCTTAATTATATATAATTTAATTGAACTTTTAAAATAATTATATCTAATTCAATAAATTAAATTTATTATATTAGTATTGATTGCTCAAAAATTTTCAACAACTTTAAAAAAAATCCTATAAGGACATTTGACATGAATAAATCAAATGTCAAAAAAAAGTATAAGAAGCATTATAACTAATATCATAAAAGAGTAGAAACATAGGCACTATGAATGCTATGGAGGAAAAAGGATAGCAATGAGTGAAAACATAGATATAAAATTGAATAGTAGCAAATCACTGAATCTCTTGAAGGAATTTAAAAATTAAGAATGTTTAGATATATGAATGAGTAGCAATAGATTTCATCTCTAATCTTTCATTAAATGAGAGATTAGCGATGTAGTGCTGATTCTTTCCTTCAGAAAGCACTGATTCTAAGTGCTCAATTTTCAGTGTGAGAACAAAAGCTTGTATAAGAGTTTTGATATCACAAATATAATTGATTGAATTATGTAAATATTTTGAAGTACTAGTTCTCAATTAATATCTGCAATTTTATATATATTAAATTATATCTATGAAATTTTTATTTAATCAAAATACTATAAATTATAAAAAATTTATATAATCTAAATTACAGATAAAAGCTAAAGAAATAAGCAATTTGTCAAAAATTTAAATTAAGAATATTGACAAACATCATTCTTATATCTGCTGTTGTATTCATATAATAATAAACAGTAATTTTCTTTATTACTTCATGATAAATTTTTATTTAATTGAAAAGTATAAGCTTTGTTTTATTTTTTTTTATTAACTTTAAAATGTTTAGAAAATGATAATCTTAAAAAATTTAAATTTCAATTAATGATGAATTAGATATATATAAGAGAATATAAAAAGAAGAATGTATATGTCTATGAAGTTTTTAACTTCAGATATGATCTTATGCTTGAGTTATTATGTTTGACTGAATTTTATGAACAGAATTATCCACTTTTATTTTTAAGAGAAGATTGTGAAGTTTATTATAATTTTCATCATGTATATAAATCACTATAGCTTTCTGAAAACATGAAAAACAAAACAATCAAGCATACAGATTCTTGATCAGATAGAGCATTATTTTGATCCACCCCAGACAGTGTCTTCCGAAGTTGGTCACTAAATCCGACAGGATTTTGGGAATCACTACGCGTTTTCTAGGTGAGGTTTCCTGTCGTGGCTGGAAAATCAAGTTTTTTTACCGTCCGCACGTTATTGAATGTAATATCTGTATATCTATTTCTACTATGCTCAGAGAATACGTAGCAACTTGATCTAATTTATACAGAGGTGTGGGTGACGATAGTATAAGCGAGATATAACAGGAAAGATCAACACACGTTTCGTCGCAATTCGGGATGAGCAGAGAGCGAGCTGTGAAAAGCATCTGTTGCTACTCTTCGAACTATATCTATAGATATTATCAGCTTAATACCGCCTCCGTGAATAGATAAAGCTGCACCAGCGTCTACGTCCCTCCCTCCGTCATTCAGCGTTCATTCACAATGCGCCCGCCATCCTCCCGTCTTCTACGGGTATTGCGCCCTTCAGCAAGAACACAGCAAATGCAAATACCCCAATGTGTAATGACGATAACTACATCGCCATCGCCATCACGATCACTATCATCATCGTCCTCATTACAACCTCAAACGCACGGCCCTTTAAGCCTGCGCGTCAGCGCACCAGACATCACCAGTCAACATCATTCCGTGCTACGCAATTTCTACACTACCTCCTCCTCCCTCAACAACAACCACAGTAATAATAATACCAAACCCCAATCCCCCCGATCCAACCCTCAACGGCCCAACCCCTCCGACACCCGCACCCGCACCCGCACACCCACACCCACACTCAGCCGTACCCCCAACGAAGACAAACCCCCAGGAAGTATCAGCGAAGACATAACATGCGATCCACCTCTCTTCACTCGGAATGTGCTTATGGACGTAGCGGGCCCGTCCACGGCAATCGATGCGTGTTTGCCAGATGGGTTCCACTTGAATAATGGGGTGAAGATTACGGGTGGGGATGGGTGTTTGTTGGTCGATGGGGAGGTTTTTGCGTGGAGGCCGTGGGAGGCCGGAAAGAGTGAGAGTGGGAGGCAGATGGCGGCGATGATTAATGAGAAGGGCCAGTGGGAGGTTGATGCGGAGGTTTGGGGGGTGTTGAGGTTGATACGGCCGAAGCCTGGTGGGTTTTTTTTTTTCACTTTATTAAGAGTGTCATATAGTATACACAGTTTTCTTTTACCTTTATATTCCTATTTACCTGTTCATTTCTCTATTTGTGGACGGACACGGCTTTCGCTTTTGTGTTTTATGTCCACTGGAAACGGAGGGTTTATATTGAATTCTTAGGGCTAACTACGTATTCTATTTCACTTTTAGACCTTCTTATTCTTGGACTTGGGGCCTCTGTCCATCCCCTCTCTCCAGAGACGCGGAGGCAGATCAATCTTCTTGGTATCCGGGTTGAAGTCCAGGATACGAGGAATGCGGCGGCCCAGTTTAACCTCTTGGCTACGGAGAGGGGAGTGCGGGAGGTCACAGCGGCGTTGATTCCTGTTGGCTGGAAAGGGCCGTAGTTGGGCGGGAGAGGATGAGGGAGTAATTTGTATGATGTTTATTTGTAGCATGGTTCTAATTGTTTGGTGACGTTTTTGAATCCCCCCCTGGAGTTATCGATTTACAATTACAGGATGATTGGGTTGGTTTTGGGAAGTGGTAGTCATATCCATATATACTACATACATGCACCTTCTTGTAAAATACATGAGGGATAGGAGGGTTGTAAAGCTTCTTCTCTCATCATAAAACATATATTTATTTTAATCCATCAAAATCCATCAGTTCCATCAGTTTCTTGGTTATGTGCCATATACATAGATATAGTTACTCCATAATTTTCCCGTGCCCAGTCCTAAATTTGAGGGCTTGGCGCGGGCTTTGTAAGCGACCCTCGTAATCAACTGTCACAAGCTCAATTAACAACTTTCACAACATTTGACTCTTGGGGGTTGGACTTCCAGGCGGTCCTTCACTAGGTGTTGATGTTGACATGTGTCTAGACTCTTCTTAAATCTGTTTACAGCCTCATCCCCTTCAGAGAACCCACCGCCAAAGCTATCTCAAGTTCTCTCCTAACCATGTCCGATCCTCTGCTCGTGCAGCGCTCCTCCTCCGAGCATTCGTCGATCCGAACAGGCGAGGCCGACGCTCTCTTAACCGGTGAACGGACATACCGCGATGAAGAAAGGAGTCGCTCTTCCATATGGCGTGAGATTGGGCTCTTTGCCTGGGCTCTCTTCGCTACTGTCGCTCTCATCATCGTCGCAGTCCTCTACCAACACCAAGCACAAAAGAACGCATCGGGCTCAGGGAAATTGGGCCCTGGCGAGAAGCCTACGGGGAAAAGGAATCTGATATTCATGGTATCTGATGGGATGGGCCCGGCAAGTTTATCGCTGACTCGAAGTTTCCGACAATTCGAGAGCCACCTGCCTATCGATGATATCCTTGTCCTAGACCAGCACCATATCGGAACCTCGAGAACTAGATCCTCATCTAGTTTAATTACCGATTCTGCAGCTGGCGCAACTGCGTTTTCCTGCGGGAAGAAGAGCTATAATGGCGCCATCTCTGTTCTTCCGGATCATACTCCGTGTGGTACGGTTCTTGAGGCCGCAAAACAGGCTGGTTATATGACTGGTATAGTCGTAACAACTCGAATTACTGATGCTACACCAGCTTGTTTTGCTTCTCATGCTAACATGCGGTCCTACGAAGATCTTATTGCTTTGCATGAGATTGGAGAGTATCCTCTTGGTCGAGTGGTTGACCTAATGATTGGGGGTGGACGTTGTCATTTCTTGGCAAATTCCACCGACGGGAGCTGCCGTGAAGATGACAAAGACGTGGTGAAGCTAGCTAAAGCTAAGGGATTCTCATATATCGATGATTGGGTGGGATTTGACCATCTTAGAATGGGCGAAAATGTTAATCTCCCGCTTCTTGGCCTTCTGGCACCAAAGGACATTCCCTATGAAATAGACCGCCGCCTGCTGAACAATGTGTATCCATCTCTAGAGGAGATGACACGTATGGCTCTAAAGGCATTAAGCAAAGCTACCAAAGATAGCGACCAGGGTTTCTTCATCATGATAGAGGGTTCAAGGATAGACCATGCAGGCCATGGAAATGATCCAGCAGCCCAAGTCCACGAAGTTCTCGCTTATGATAAAGCGTTCTCCGCAGTTCTGGAGTTTCTTGAGAAAGATTCTACCCCCGGAATCCTCGTTGCCACGTCAGACCACGAGACTGGCGGGTTGTCTATCGCTAGACAACTCCACTCCTCTCAGTATCCAACATATCTCTGGTATCCTGGCGTGCTCGCAAACGCCAGCCATTCCTCTGAGTATCTTAGTAATACCTTAGACGCCTATCTCGACGGCGCTGGCAAAGGTGCAAGCAAACCAGAGCGTCAAAAATATGTCCGCAAAAAGCTACTGGCTGATGGATTAGGCATCCATGACGCAACCGACTTTGAGGTTGATAAACTGATAAATGGTGGTGGCGCTTATACTTTTGCAGACATGATTAGTCGACGAGCCCAAATTGGCTGGTCCACGCATGGACATTCTGGTTAGTTGTTTAATGCTTTGTCTCCCATTCTTCTCTTTCCTTTGAATATTTCAAAGCGTTTTTTACTCTGTAAATCACTAAAATTTTGTCCAACAGCTGTCGATGTGAACATCTACGCCTCCTCGCCTAGCGATGCCCTCTCCCTAATGGGGAACCATGAAAATACCGAAATTGGCTTATTCCTCGCGGACTACCTCAATATTGACCTGGAGAGCGTTACCAAGCAGCTGCAAACCACACGTTCGTCTTCACATGTCACTGATGATGGCAATGTTAAGCCTTATGCTTGGATGGGCCCACCACTTGACGATGGCGTAGTCGTTGATAAACTCGACACTTACCATGGCGATTTCAAACGAAAGAAGCGTGATGACTCTGTCAATCATCTTGTTCTTGAGAATCGAAATTTCGACGGGCATAATTGTGGATGTGGTTCGAAACATTAAACTTGTTTTAAATCTTTTTGTCACCTGTACGTTGTTGGATACCAACCTTTAATCAATTGCCTCCCTTTTCCATTAGTATTCCTAAGTTTTTGCTTAATCTTTTGATTCTTCTTCAATACCTCTTGAATATCTTTGTTTCTCTCTCTGTCTTCCAGACACATTTATCGCTGAATGTCTATTTTCTCGGTTTCTCCCCCCGCCTTTGCCATTGCCTCCAGTTTGGGAATTGTTTTACTTCCTTTAAACGGCTTACTTATACGATAAACATTTGGTGTACTGATTTGCTTTGCAATATACTCCCTTGTGCAGCTGTTATTGCGTTCTATTGGGGGTTAATAAGTTCTGATTTAATTACTTGATATACGATTGCCTAACCCTGTGATGTTCACATTTGGTTAAAATTAACATACTCCCGGTTTGTAGCTACAATGCTTTGCTAGCTGGAAAATCAACTTCCTCATTTCTTCCCGTGAAGTTGGTGTACTTCTTCTTGCTCAATGTAAAGGATGCAAAGAAAATAATAATGGCAGAGGCAATTAGATAGTTAGAATTTTAAATCATAAAATGATTATCCCTGACAGACCAGAACTTACAACCAGATAAGCCCATGCGATCCAAATACCAAAATGCGTAATTCTACTGGGGTAAACGTAAAATGTCGGACCCTTCTGTCACGGGACCTAATTGCCCCCCGATATATATATAACCTTTGCAATCGATGAAGCTTGCCATTCTGTCATAAAACAAAGAAATGCATTTGCCATTTACCCATTGCCATCACATCTCAAGTAAACCGAAATATTACCCCCCTTGGAGAACCAGCAAACCGCAAACCATCCACGCACCCACCCTACCGTCCCCCTCTTATCCAAAACTCCCACACCTCCGTCTCCCGCCTTCTCCTCCCCAAACACCTCTCGCACTCCTTCGCCGAGTGTGATTGACTCAGTATATTCTCGTAATTGCGAAGCGGGGTGCATCCCGGCGGATTCTTGAAGGGGATGAAGATATCATAGCGCAAGCATTCGCCCGGGTCGTTGATGCGTTGTAGTTGGCGGTACAGATCTGGGCAGAAATCGATTAAGGCGAAGAGATTGTGACAGCAGGCGTAAGTGATTTCGTGGTAGTAGCACATCCTCCTTTTCTTCTTTTTCTTTTTTTTTTCCTCTTCCTCTTCTTCTTGTGGTATGGCTGTTTTGGGTTGGTTTGATAGGTTTGAGGACTTTGTGTGGTTGATGTGTATTCTCTTGTGCCATGGGGCTACCTCTGGGACGATGCTTGCGGGTGATAGATGAGAGGATTCTTTTTGTCTTTCTTTCTTCTTCTTTGGGACAGACTGCCGTCATAATAAGTATCTGTGACGTGGATTGCTGAGATGATCCGAGATGAGAGCCGAGAGGCGAAACAGAGGGTTGGTGGCGGTAGGAAGCAAACCACACGCGTTCAGATATTCAAATATCCAAGGTGGCACAATGACAGAATTGAGATGAGCAAAACTGTGTGATGTGTTTCAATGAGAGATCTGAAATTATGCGTTCTCAGCCCAAGGGGGAGGGCCCTGACATTCTTCTTGAAGCATGAGAGTTTGCCGAAATCGGTCAACTAGTCAACATTTACAACCTTCCACCTGCGGGAACTCTTGAGATCTATCTGGGAACAATTTTCAGATCTGATCAAGAGGCAAATAATAACTCTGGGATGAAGAAACGGAGGCCCTGGGGCTGATTATGATTGCTTACAAGAAAGAATCAGAAGTTCGAACTGACAGGAAGAGGCGAGAGGTTGATCCCATAATCGTACATTTATATTTGCCATCATTCATAATTCTTCCCATATAAAAGAATTGGTAAGTGAATCTTGAAAGAGAAGAACAAGCAAGTACTGGAATGACAGCGAAGCCTTTCAGGGCACAGCAGTGTCTGGAGCAATTGGGCAGGAAAACATAGATACCTAGTCACTGAGAAAGGTATCTTTTGTTCGCTTGCATTTTGTAGATACCACTGCGAGTAGTCCCTTGGTAAGTTTGCTTCTTCCTTGAATGAATTCTTTGAGAGACTAGTCCATTTTCAGGCGCTGTTGATTCATCATTCATTTCATGAAAATGATAACAGTAAGAGGAGGATGGCACAGCAACTTGCTGTCATAATTCAGACAGAGGCAACCATCAAATCCTTTCTGTTCGAAGATCAATCATTAGGCATGGAGACAATGAAGTTTCATCAGTATCAAATATGACACATTATTAGGTCAGATATAGACTGGGAGAGTAAATCACAATCAACACATAATTAAGTGAACAGACGCTCTAGTGTCATGAGATATTTGAGCATCTATATCTTCTGATGAAGAAAAGAGACAAACAATCTCTACAACTGCAAAGAACACCAAAATCTAGCTCATGGAATGACCTAGGCAAATAACAACAGTAAAGAACAAGAACTCAAGACAGATTCAGGGTTATTGTTAAATCTCACAAGTATGAATCATAGATGTGTGGGGAGTTTCTTGCCTCCAACAAAGCTTGAGGTGTCACAAAATGTTTGATTCAGCACTCGGCAACCTGCAGCAGCGGAAACAAGAGGGGTAAATGTCTGCGACAAATCTAACCAGATGGAATGTGGGAGAAATTGCAGAAGTAAAAGGACATTTGTGTTTTATCTGAACAATACACAATCTCATACTTGGGTGTCAATCTGAGGCGTGTGCTGGAGAGGCATTCTCAGTTCTCTTCGGTTGGTAGCAAGCTTACCGGCGCAACCATGTAGATAATATGCGGAGAGCTTGTAGTTTAGGAGAATATGGCCAAATATAATACGCCAATATTCCTATAGGTCCTGGAATTACAGCAGTAGATCTGAAGAGAGTGGGTTGTAGAGAGTAAACACGGAAAAGAAGACTAACCTTGTGCCGGGGCCCCACAAGATTTTAGGAGCTGAGCCGGGATTCATTATCGCAGCAAGAAGTAGCCTGATGGACGATATACCGAAATAATGACCATCTCTTGGAATAGGAATGGGAAAATTAATTACGAATATATGGGTTGTGTTTTAGTGATGCCTTTGCATAATATATTTTCTTTCTCAATACGAAAAAGCCGGAGCCCAGAAAATTATTCCCGTCAGGGCAGCGTAGGTAGATAGATAGCTTTCACAGGCGGTACAAAACAGGGGATATTGAAACTCTAAGGAAGAGAAATAAATGGGATGATTCAACGTCCAACCTGAACACATTGTAAAAGGAAGAGGAGAGAAAGGGAGGGAAAAAAAAAAAAAAAAAAAAAAAAAGAAAAGAAAAGAAAATTGTACATTCAAAGAGGGAATATTAAAAATTTCATATAACACAATAGTCAAAACATAAAATCCTTTACATATTGATCAAAACCATCGCAGCAACGAGCACCGCGAATATCGATCCTATTAGAAGTCGTTCGCTCTGGGATGAAGAGCTGCTTTTACTAGGAGGAGCAGTGAAGTCGGTGGATGGCTTGTTATTTTTACCGTCGCTGCCATCGCTTCCTCCGTCACTTGGGGGATGGCCATTTGTGCCCGGACCAGCTCCAGTTAAACCGGGAATGACGGCGACAGTGTCAGTCTCAGTGGGGTCCGATCCACCTTTGGTCCCGGATTTGGGGGGATAGTCTTTGTCCATATCGACGCCAGTGCCAAGGAGCGACTTGAGAACAGTATTTTTGTTGGTGATCTTAACGGTGTCCTCAGTTCCGGCTTTGTCTGTGTATATGTATGATTTGTCTCCTTCGATCTTAGCACCCGCAGGCGGATCGTAGCACTCAATGGTTACCTCAGAAACGATAGAATAGTAATAACCATTGTTTTTGATATCCTGATGATTCCAGTCGATGAGACCACCTGCCCAGTCAATAGTACCCTTTGCATTGGACGCCTGTCCACCTGGCCAGAGAGAGAGCTGAACTCGAGAAGGTGATTGGGGGAAGTGGTATTGGTTAGTTTTCTTGTTGAGCGTATCCTTTTTCTTCAAGGTACGTCTGGGCTTTCCATCGACGGACCAAGTAATTGAATCCGGTTTCCAGTCGATCTCGTAGGTATGTTCCTGGGAAAAGGTGTTACCATCGACGGAAACATTTTGTCCGTTGGTATCTGCATCGCACCAGCCAAGTTAGCTAATTCAAAAGCAACGATCGCAATGTAAGCGATCAATTGAAGGAAGGGGGAAAATAATACAATCAATGACGCCCTGGAAGTACCAATTGGTTTGGGCAGTTTGCAAATCAGCTCCGATGAATTCGAAATCAATCTCATCTTTCACATCAGACATGAGGATAAAGGCGGAAACAACGCCCGCCCCGCGACTGGTCCTCATTTTGGCAGAAACCTTTCCATACCACACGTAATGGTTATTGGCAATAAGGGTGCCGACAGACTCCTTTGGCATCGTTAAAATCAATTTCCCGTCGTTGGAAAGAGGTTTCCCGCTCGAGACCCAGTCCGCCTTGCTTGCATCGCCAAGATATTTTTCTCTCGACATAACTCCATCCAAGTTGTCGAAAGTATACGATTTGCTTTTGCATACTGGAGCAGGAGTGCATGAGTCGATAGAATGAGAAGAAACTGGGTCACAACCGCCGAGACAGTATGCCCCAACGCCACATTCCCCGTATACTGCCAAACCAAAAACGGGCGCGAATCAGTCACAAATTCGCGTGACAAATGACACTTTGGAACGGGTGGATTACTCACGGGAGCAGCATGGGGTTTTCTCGGGACACTTTTTATCATGACTGCATGCTACTTTTTGTTGCGCTAACACGGCCTGTGAAAATAGCACCAGACAGGTAACGAATGTCGCAAGACGAGTCATCCTGAGAGATACAAGAAAGGATCCAAGAATCCGGAAAGTCGTTAATCAAAACTCTCGCGTGGAATATATCAAAGGGCCTAGGTATTAAAAGGCGATAGAGTAATGCCAAAAATATACAAGAGATACATAAAATCAAGATCCAAAGCCAATGGGTCGAAGGGAATCGTTTTATCAGATTTCCAGGGAGGTGACCGTGGACCCACACACAAAACGGTACAGAAAGGAGAAGATAAAACTAGACAACGAGAGTGTGGTGAGTTAGGGTAGTAATGGCCACAGGCTCCAAGGAGGGCACAAAGCGATTGAAATGCGTCCTTGAAAAGAGGAGAGAGTGACGAAAGAGTGACTTTTTCTCACAGACGGTTAGAGATCTTGAAGAAGGAAGTGGAAGATGAGAACGACCCATGGCTAAGAGAATGAGGAGTCCCATCCCCAGGCTTTTTGCAACCGATAACCACAGGCCAAAGCCCAGTTATTGCCTCAAACTGCCCAGCCATGCCCATGCCCATTGGGTACAAGGATCCCCCTGGCTCCTTGTAGAAAGTCACCGGGGCGGCTGACGTCTCCCGTACCATTGATACAGGGTCAGATCGGCATATTTGCCCCTATTTGCCAGTGTTTCCATGTTTCGGTTTTGAAAGCTTTAATACCGAAGGCTCTATCTGTTTGCGGCCGGATGGGCCTTGGTTCAACAGACGAGCCAACCTAAAAAGTGTGGATAGTCCAATAAAGATCCATAAAATCAGCCATGATCCTTAATACGGTTAAGCATGTTTTGCAAGCCACAAAAATAGCCACACTTTCAGCCTATCAGCATTCAGCTGGTTGTCCCCTTCCAGCTACGTTAGCATCTCTCCTGAGTCGGACGTGCTGCTCTGGGGATATGTTGCATCTTGGCCTTTTTTTTTTTTTTTTTTTTTTTTTTTTTTTTTTCATTTCAAGTCGGATAGTGGTAGTCAACCAAACTCCAACACGCAGTACTCTGTGCACAGCTGACATTTGCCAGGCTGTTTAGACAATGTGTTAGGTAGACCAGCAAACAAAGGATGCCTGGTTATGGATAGATGGTATCGTCACCGGGCTCGTTGGGCGCCACGTCAAATGTTCAAATGAACTGGCCAACCGAACTTTGCAAGCGGGTTGACAATTCCTGACAACCGTCTGATGATCAAGACCCTGCAATGTATGAATAATATGCAGGGGTAGGCTGCACAAACGGGATGTTAACTGGGGCGGTGGTTGTAGTGACTTGAGTCTCGAGTCTTGACTCGTTGGCCTCTCGGCGTTAACAGTTCGGCAGTCACGACACCGGAACGGGCCGAGGAGGCAGTTATGTCACCTGACCGAGCAATATTCGGGCAAGGTTTCTTCTCTCTTGCGAGTTTGTTCATTTACTGTGCTGGAATGCTTTAGTTTTTGAACCTTTTTTTTTTTTTTTTTTTTTCACTCCAATGGTTTATTCCATATTATCGGGAAGAGTAAGGGAACAAATATATCTCTTCCTTCAGACTGCAGATCAAATGTCACGGATTGCCCCCGCTCATTGCCAATTCAAATACATTGTACAATCAATAGTTACATTTGTTGAAGTTCATGGCATTATTCAAAAATTGTCATGTAGTCGCTGTGGACAACAAGACAGGCTCCTCAAATGTCGATTGTCGTGGGTAATATTTACCAATCCGTCCAATTTTCACGCTCTCCCGAGATGCAATGGCTTCTCGCAAGGGTCGGTCGAGTACGTGACCTGGACGCCAGCATATGGGCCATGCTCAGATGATTTCTGCCAGAACATCTGTCGAACATGCCTGGCCGTTTTCACGCTCTTGAAAGCAGCAGTCACTTGAATGGAAAAATATACCCCAATTAGTCGAAATCTTTCCTCTTCTTTCATTTCATAATGGGGTAGTAAAGCTCTTTACAGGAACATGAAAGCAATCACAGGACATACCGTTTCCAGCGTTAAACTTCCATATAAAATCCACCCCATCCTCCCCAGCAATTCTCATGATATCGTCTGTCAATCTCTCAAAGGTGCACGGATATGCAAGCAGTCTCGAGCGGACAAACGTCAACCGGCGCCTCTCTTTATTCGACATGGGTTTGTCCATATTTTCCAAATCCCTATCCCAGTCCCGCACCAAACATCTGTCATATCTGACCTTGAAATCAGGTCCAAAACGGCCATAGCCAGTTTTCTTCGTGGCAAGTTTGTCTTCGATCAGGAAATTGCTTGCATGCTGTGCATGTAGGAATGTAATTTCAGCGTATCCTGTATTATGCACAATTTCAACACTGTACAGTGGACCCTCATGGATTCTCGCAGTGAGGAAATTCAAGCTGTGAATATTGAATTTCCCCTCCACAATTATGACTCCCGCCTTCTTGTTCAGCTCTCCTTGAGCTGGATTCGGGGCTTGCACAATTCGCCCACCAGGGTGGATTGGAACGATTGGGGTTGGACGTTTGTTGCGTCGGTTGCTTGATGCATCAATCAAGGGTCTGTTATTGTTAAGATGGGCCTGAGGTTGGGCTGCGGCTACAGAGGACCACAGACGAGCCGGGGGATTCGGGATTGGATAATGAATGGGAACAAGGTCAGCATTTCTCGGTTGACAGGTTTCCTTCAGCATTCGCTGGTATTCATTGCGGATGAATTCCTCGTTGTCATAACCATTAAGCAGGTTGCTCTCATCCTAAATCTCTGCTATCAGTCTAGGTTCTCAAGCATCACATAATGTTCTTAATATGAAAAGGCAAATACACACTACCGAAGGAACCATCCACATTTCATAGTCCGTTAACCCAGCCGTTGCATCACCGAAGTCTTTGAAAATTTGATGAACGCTCTTTGATATTTTGTTGGCTGGCTCGTCGGAATGGATTTTGCGCAACTGTTTGGATTGTTATTTTTTCAAGTCAGCCACATTCTTAGAGCTTTTCAAGTCAAAGAACGCGTTTTTCACAGTGGTCATATTTCTGGATTATTCCTAGCTACTTACATGATTAGTTATGCTTCGCAACTTGTCCAAGACCTCGGCCATAGCGGTATCCATGCGTTGAGGTCCATCAGATCCTCCGGCCTGGCTCGATATGCCACCCATCGCCATCATCTTGGATGATGAGAGGAGCCTCGGGAGTCAGGAGGGGAGGATAATGACTCGCTAACAATAATCAATACAAGTATCCTGCAATGCAAGGGATGAGAGATGTTGTTGGGTTATACAGGTGACTGAGAAGGGCCTCAGCTGGGTAACAGTTACTGAGACTCAAACAAAGAAGAAGGCGGGCAAGAATGGAGAATAAGAAGAGTTCACACATTAAGAAGAGACAGAGGATCTTTGAGAGAGCATAAAAGGTTTCTAAAGCAGCTAGGACAACAAGCGCACATCTGCTGAAAACAGCAGAGCGGAAGGAAATCCCAGGAAAGGATAATTGGGAAGTTGAATAACACTTGAAAGAGAGTGGGAGACCTTCACTCTCCTCATAGCCGCGAGCGATTCATTCACTATTCCATGGATCTCCTTCTTCATTCTTAGGAGATAAAAGACGAATGATTCCTAGTTCTGAGCTTTATTATCCTCCTTGACCTCAGGCGAAAGCCGGAAAAAAAGAAGAAGGGGTAGAACAAAAAGGCAAGAATCTCTCCACACAAGAAAATAGACTGGAAGGTAGCGATAGATATTATATGGGATTCTGCAGCTTTCTCGCAGCTACACACAGATCTACTCATGGAAGAAGAAATGAAACGTTATTTAGTGTCAGTAATATCAATCCCCATCATCTCTTGGTTTCATTTGTTTGTTTGTTGCTTTGCCTCATTCATTCTTAACTGTCTCATAGTTTCCTTTGTGAGCATTTGGCCTCTGAAACTCTTAGGGCAGAAACCGAGAAAAAGCGACGGCCTTATATTTACCTCAACTAAAATGGAAAAGAGGGTGGAAGTAAAAATAAAATCGAAAGTCGTCTTCCTTTTGTCATGCGAGCAGTTGAAGCTGGCGGGATAAAACACCCAAAGCAATGCGAAGCAACAAAGACGCAAGCGTAAATCTCCTCCCCTTTCCAACATACGTGACGCTGAAAGGAAACGTCCAGCGCATACCAGAAAATATACTGGCCTAGTCATATATACCTCTAGGTAGGGTTGAATATCCATTCTGTCATCAAATAATGGAGGGTATGTTCTAGTTATTAACCTTCTCTTATTAGAACGTGAACTTGGATAAAGATTTCTTTTCAATCAGTATCAGCAAAGTGCACTTCCACTCCCTGAAAGTCAACTATGGTTCTGCTATTCGAAGAAAAGCAACAGGACATATACAATATGACAAGATAACTGCAAAACAAACAAGGAAAACCGCCCATTCATCGAACTAACAAATCTCAATTAACCACCCAATGTTAAGCGCCCAATATTGATTACCTAATTACCCCTGTGCGCTGCTTAGCTAGCGGCCTCCCACCAACCTCCTCCGCAGCTCCTTCGCCATGGCTCTCCTCGTCTCCTCCGTCCTAGATGCCGCGTCCCTATTCTCCTGAGCCCTCCGAAGCAAATACCGAGTACACTCGCCAACGGTTCCCCATACAAGGTACTTGTACGCCTTTGGCGCCTCCACTTCAGCCATCACCCCCTCTGCTTGCTGTTCACGGGCGGCCTTCCCGGCCTGCACTAGCTCGCAACTGATATCATCCGCCATGCCTGACAGTTGACCATATGCCATTTCGATCTGCTCAGTGCCAGTCAGGCGGAGTTGCTCGTTTCGAATTTTCTGGGCTCGATCGACCGAGGCACGATTGTGAGAAGCTAACACGAGGTTCACTTTTGGAAAGGTGTTGCTGTGGTGGTTGCTTTGTCCACTGCTGTTGCTGCTGCCGGCGACGGTCGAAGGGTGGTGGTGAGGTGAAAGGATTTCTCCATATTGCTGTTTAATCAACGATTCGGCAATGCCGTCATATACTTTATCGGTATCTTCTTTCGTGGCCCAAATGAGATGTCGCGGTTCAGTTCCTAGATATGCACCACGGACCAGCTTGACACCAAGAACGAATCCCTCCGCCTTTGCAATTGCCAAGTGCTCAGAAAGTGTTTTAGGGGCGGAACGTAAGTAGGCCTGGTAAGTCGAATACACAATAGCCCGTTGGTTTGGTCCCTTGTTATACCGTCGTTGGAAGTCAAGGGCCCATTTGTCAATCGCTGGCTGAACAGCTTGCTGCTCAGCATCGATCAACAACCTTACATTGCGCGCTTTTGCCCTCTCGCAAATCTCCACAATGGCTTCTTCGAGCTCGGACGATGGTGGTAAGCCGTGTAGTAAATGGCGGACTGATCCCTTCCCGGCTCCAGTGAATTTCAGAGCCACAAAGTCTCCATCGTCTGCTAGATCGACTGTTTCGAGGGTCCCTTCCTTCCATGCTGTTAAGTCAGCAATGCCCTGAGCCATATCTTCCTCCCGTTCTTTCGTGACCGTGGCTTGGGCCAGAGACTGTATCTCGGTCTCATCCATTGTGACTTCCCGTGCATACCCTAATATGACACCGGAGAAACCGATCTTCTTCAATTCCTTGATATTCCCTTTTACCTCTGCTCGGGTCTCTCCCGCACAGAACTGGGCATACATCGTGTGTCCCAGTAAAGTCTTCAAGAGAAGATTATTATCAGGATTCAAGAAGGTTGATTCGGGCTTCGCTAAGATTGTCAAAAATGCCAAAGAGGGGGGGAAGAGGAGAGGTGAAGACGAAATAGTAGTGACGAATAGGGATCTCAGTATAGTGGATAAAGGAAGAATCGAAAGGGGAGAAGATTTTGGCGTATTGGACGAAGGCATCGTGTGGTTCAGCGTTGCGTATGGCCTCGTTGAGCCGGGTGGGGATGTGGATGACCCTCCTGCAGCAGGTAGTGAATGGTCGGAAAGCTGGCCAGGTTCATGGTGGGAATGTCTAACAGGATATTGATTCCATGAGAAAGCTCTCCTGGCAGGAGTCCGAGGCCCAGCGTAACCGAAACACGCAGAGGTAGTCTTGAAGGCGACCTGTCTTCGCATTTCGTGTCCCTTTTGACGTTCACCTTCTCCGTTTTCCCTTTTCAGAGTCCTCCTTAGTAAACAAACAACTCGCTGCCCTTTTTACAGAACGCAAAAAGGAATACTAATTTAAAAGTACAACAACTTTAAGCCAAAAAGAAAATAAAAAAAAATAAGATAAAATAAAATAAAATAAAATAAAATAAAATAAAGTGAGAGTACAAGGTGAATATACCGCTCAGGCGAAAGAGAAATGATACAGAAATGAAAACAGCGAAAATTCGAATTCTTAGAGCCTAAGAAAGAGAAGGTGCAGAAGAACAAAAAGAGAAACAAAAGAAGATTCGTTCAAAGGAAATATAATTTCAGATAGTTTATATGGGCAGCTCCCAGAAGAGGTTGATAAGTTAGGCTGTCAGGGTATTCGGAGGCCGCAGGCGCCGGAAGGGAGTTTTTCTCCTGGAAACTTTCAGGAGAAAGCGGTGACACTCTGGGTCTTCAGGTATTATTCTCCTTCTTGTCATTCCAAGATAACCTAGCCAGTTAGTTATGTATATATAACGCTGTCAAACGCTTGCTGCCTCTGCGTTGGTGTACCCCCTCCCGAGCAATTATGCTTTCCATCAGCGCGGATATCTTCCACAGCAGCCGGTGCAGCCGTAGTAGGTAAGAGACGTAGCAATGGCGGGAATGGCTAACTATCGGGGCGTGGGGATGAACAAAGATGCGCAGTCATTGACAAAAACGCAGCAAGTTCGTTGGTTGGACCGTTGCAAAGCTGCAAGAGGAGCGAGGATAGTCTCGGATAACCCAGGATAGAGCTAATCAAACGCGGTGGAGAGTTAATAGCGACGCAGGGAATGAACATCCTAGGGTTCCACGACACTGATTGGGGGGCAGCCTGGAACCGAGTTGGTGGGGGGTGGGTTGTGGGGGGGGGTTACCGAAGGTTTGGCTCATTTTTGGGGTACCTGACTGGTTTCCTCCGGCATGGGAAAACGCATCCTGGGGGTGCTCTCGTGATTCGGAATCTTGCCACAGGGTTCCGCGTCTACCCAATGTGCGGCGGACCGTTGGGGGGGGGGCGTGTTCAGTTACATCCAGACCTGCAAAACTAGCAACTTAGCACTGTTGTTTCCAACCAGCAGGGACGCAAGGCATGACCCATGGATCGCTATTGCATTTCTGATAGCTAATAGTTAATTAGTGTAGAGGGAGCTTCCTCTACAGCTTGGCAAATGGCCGCGTGCCTTGAGTTTCGGGTGGTTCCTCCGAGTCCACAGTTGTGTGATACTTTTCTAGGTAGTTGACTGCCAGCGATCATCTTTTATCCCTGAACCCCACGGACAGATAATCTTTCAGGCATTCCGGAAGCATTAAATAGTGGAGCAGTACTGCTGCTGTTCTTCGGTGAGATAATAAAGTTTCCTACCCTTCCTGTCCAACCCTGTGATCTGTCCTAAATCCTACACGGATGCAACAAAGAATCAATCTGCAATGGTTTATGAAGTGTCTCTGCGCAGTATGTAAGCATTCCCCCTCCAGGTCGAAATTACTACATACACCTTTGATATCCTCATACGAACAGAACCCCATGGATATCTGGTAACGATGGATGTAACCAGATTTTACATGGTCTACGTGCATACAAAGGGAGGTTAGTCGTGATCGAAACCAATCTTGGCCGCAAGGATGGTTGGTGAATGGAGTTCGATATCACTCCCAAAGACAAGGTGAGAAACCTCCCACGAGCAGGCTGATAGGACAATATCAAAGGAATACTCTGTAACCTGAATCCCAATTGCTAGGGTATTGTGATTTTTCTATATATATATAAAATAACTTCGATCTGGCAACGCAACCTCATTCCGACAACTGCGCGAAATTCCTCTCAAAGCTATTTGAAAACGCATAGTTAGCACAACGTCCCACACTCGTCTCCCCTTCTGGCGTACCAGAACTCTCTCTCCGTCGCAGAACTCCGCTCCACGAATTCCGACCTCTGCCTTGCGGTTAAACAGGAATCACTCACTGCATGGGGCACTCATATCCACCGGGATTTTTATCCAAATACAGCTGGTGGTATTCTTCCGCATCCCACCATTGACCAGCCGGAACAACCAAGGTCTTGACTGGCCGTTTCCACCATTCCGTAGCCACCTTTTCAGTAACCAGCTTGGCAATGTTTTGCTGTTCTTCACTGTGCGTAAATATCGCGCTTCGATATTGTGTCCCCACATCTTGGCCTTGTCGGTTCAGAGTTGTAGGATCATGCATGCGGTAGAAGAATTCGATCAGCTGACGATAGGTAACAATGGAAGGGTCAAAGATAATCCTGAGAGCCTCGGCATCTGGGAAGATTGTCTATGTCAGATCAACTAGCTCCGTGGGCCGAAACGGACAGAGTCGACAGGAATATCTAGCAATGCAAAATGGAAAATGGAAAATAAATAAAATAAAAAAAATTAAATAAAAAGGGTCACATACGACCCGTAGTCCCAGAGCAGACGCTCCGATAGCTCGGGCTTCTCGACTCGCCACCGCAATATCCGACTCTTGCATCCAAGAGCCCCTTCCCGCAGCCAAACTTCTTCCGGAACAGGTGTTCCACACCCCAGAAGCAGCCGGCAGCGAATGTAGCTTCTTGCGCATTTTCCGGGAAGCCCCGGGCTGCGAGAGCTTCTGGAGTCAGTGGGAGAGATGGGGTGGTAGAGAACAGGCGCATGATTCGTGACATGAATGGCGGCATGATGGACGAAGATCGGGAACGAACGTTGTGAAAACCTAGGACGGGATAGAGAGAGATATTATTTTGATCGATTAATGATTGACAATGGAGGCGCTTTTATTTTTACAGATTATTGAAATTAAATCAGTTACTGATGCTAAAAGACCGGGGGAGAGCTAGAGAATTAATTATGAAAAAAGTACAAGGCGAGAGGAAGCTGGAAACAAACCATGACGGCGTCTTGATGCTTTTCTCAAGGTGGGTGGATGATGATGAGATAATCGTCCATTGCCGAACTTGCCCCACTTCGTTTGCGCCTCGGGATTGCGTCATCGGAAGAAGACTCCGCATTTCATACGGACGCTATTTATAGCCTCACACATACATGTCTGTTTTGTACAACTTCTCCAGGTGCCTGCAGCTGTAAAAAGGCTTACATTTTAAGTATCCTAAAACCTATCTGCATTTCCTTTTACTCCCCATCACGCATGTTGCTGGGTGACTGCCATGGAGCAGAACGTGGTAGGCCAGGAATGACCCAAGCTTTGCGGGATGTCTTGGTAAGCATGGTTTGGCCTGTAAAACCAGATTGCATGGTGGGTCCTTGAGCAAGATAAAAGGACTGCCAGTGATCGGCGCGGTAGTCCACTGCCCTATCCATTCGGGAATCCCCCACCTTGAGCCATCTTGTCAATTTTCATATGTGGAAGGGGATAAAAACTAAATCACCCGACTCAATGACGCACCGTCTCTGCTATGCTTCAGTTATAACATATACGGGTTAGTTACTCTTCTTCTCTTTTTCCTTTTTGGCCTTGAGGAGGGCGGTTTGAGGACCGTAGGGTTACTGCTAACCAATGTACTAAACTGGCTACCAGTTAATGCCGTTGTTAAATGACGAGAATATGGGGCCACTTGTCGAATCCACATATGCGATTGATATCACGGCATACAAGAATGGAGTTAGACCACCGTTGCTTGAAAGGGGAAAAGATGGCATAGACGCGTAGTAAAGTGACTTGGCAATATCCCGGGCCGTTCATGTGGTGTTCGTTTGCAGCCACTGTTGAGAGCAGCGGGAACTCTATCGCGAGAATCAAAGGCCTCCCTGTAGCTGCGGGTGGTACCTAGTTACCGTTTGATATTGGAGAAGTTCATGGTTGAGCAGATCGACATTTGCAGCTAATCACGCAACTTGTAGTTAATAAGAAAACCCCCAACAACATAACTAGGCTGGAGAGAAGAATTTAAACAAAACCATCGATAGTAAACTCATTTTAGGATCTAGTTAGAGCAATATATATATTTTTTCCCCCCAAAGATAGTATGGCATTGTCAGGGAGGAATGTTTGCAGCTACTAATACCTGCAGCTGTGCGCTTTTCCAGTCTCAGATCAGGAAGTGAATCAGGTGAGATGCTCGAGGGATGGTGAAACTGTTTCTTCACAAGACCATTTTATGAACCTGTGCATCTTAGATCCTGAGAGGTCTTCCTTACTACGAGCCCCGAGCATCAATGCTTGTCAGGAGTCGCAATTCGAAGTTTGCCCCACATTCAACTGGGAACAAAGTTTGGTTCAGTTAATTAGGCATTGAAAATCTTTAAAATGGAGTTCATCCATTTTACTTCTTACCTGGGAACCTGCTTTTCCAATATCCATCCGAAAGTTCTCATTTACATCAGTTTCCTCTGGTTCTATTTGTTGATGCTCGATTACTCTATTCCATCATGACTTGTTGGCAGAGCTGGAAAGCTGGAAAGCGAGCGATCAGTATGTAAAGTCAACTCTCTTAAAGCCAATCGCAAGTGGCTGAAGTAGTATGCGAAATGGCGAATAGACATTGAAACTTAGGATTTTGATTTGATCTTTCCTTGTAAGCGAATGTCTGTGTCAAGAAAAAAATACACGCGAATCATTTGCGTCGTTCGCACCAGTGGGCAATCGTGGCCAAAGATTCTATCAACAAGCATCAAAACAAAAGAAAACAAAAAATTGAGGGGAAAAAAAAAATTGAAATGAAATGGAATTTGACCTGCAGCCAGCCAATCTCCTATACTGTACATAACATAATCAAAACCGATACCACTAGTTAATGGTCGCAGACACCAGGGCCTGCATGAAGCGGGAAGGAGTCACAAGCCAACCTGTCCCAAATCGCAGACGAGGAAAAAAGAGAGAAAAAAAGTGCGACAGAATACATGCAATTGAATGGAAGTGAGAAAAGAAGCACAAGCCGCGATATGGTATAAACACCAAAACACCACCTAATATCCTATCTCTAAACACCCACCTCCTCCCCCTAAAAAACATATCTAAAAAGATCCCAGATTACCTCCAAGAGCTCTTTACAGCTGAATTCAAACTACCCCGCATTGAGATAATCCTTATTTTTTCCCGTGAGCCAACACTATTCTGTTTCGCGTCTCCGAACGTAGTCCGCCTTTGGCTACTTGGCTTTGTAATGGGAACGGTCCTCGGACCCAAGACGCTGATTTTCGAATCATGATCCTTTTCGCTTTTCACCATGCGTCTCGCCTGGGATGCCGTGAACATGGCATTTTCACTGGGGGGGCTTCCGGAAGATGCGGCTGTTGGGCTTCGTCGACGATGGGTTCTGTAGGCCGCGGATGCCGAGGACAGGTTCCCTCCATGGATTACGGAGATGCCTTTCATGGCTGAATGTATCGTCATGGCCTCATTTTTGTCAATTTTCCATCCATCTTCGCTATCAGATGACCCGTTTGCATTGCTTTTTGTGATATCAGCCTCAGAATGGTCAAGAGATTTGCGATTTAGGGAACTGCTATTTTCAATACCACATAAAGGAGAATTCTCGGCGTCCGATGATAAGGGGAGCCTAGTCAAAGTTGGAGGTATTGGTGATGGAGAGCCATTAGCCTTTTTTGATAAGAAACCGGTCTTGAAACGGCTATTCTTCTGAATATGAAGCGAGATGGGAGGGCTGGCAATTGGCGATGATTCTCTGGAACTGCTCGACGTGCGACGGGGGATGGCAGATGCCGCTAAGTGCATTGGCGGTAACCGTGGCTCGTTCGATGGTGTACCGGGCGACGACTCTTCAACCTTCTGGGGAGTCTTCTCAAATTCCGCAAGTGTTCCATTCACCGTATCATCCTTCCATCTCACACTTCTCTTGATGGTCTTTACCTGGAGCTTCTTCGGTGTGAAAGTTATTCCCTTTTTCGGACCCATCTTTTTTCTTCTTGGGGAGGCTTTTGCTGGAGAAGGCGCTACCTGGGGTGCGATAACGATAGCCGGATTAAAAGGTTTTGGCAATGATGCTTCACCTCCAAAGCTGGATTTCTTCCGGCGCTTAGGGGTGCCTGATTTTCTGGGAGAGAAAGCCTCGATGGTTGGTACGCTCCCATCTGGTTTGACCACGTTTGATGTAGCGATCGTACTTGACCTCAACAGGTTTGCGAGAATTCTCTTGCCAGTGTTAACCACATCCTCCTCGCGTAAGTTCATAATATCCTCAATGGCAGAAATTGTTTCGAAGTTGGTTTGCAGCAGTGTCTGGACCATAGCAACGTCTCTGTTTTTCTCCTGTTCGGTAACAGCAGTCAATGCCTCCATTTCCGCATTGGACTTGAGGAGCTCTGCCTCCCTGGTGAGGTTTGCAATGTCGACATTATCTGCTATTTCCATTTCTTGAAGTTGCTTAATACCAATCTCAAGCGCGGAGTTGATTGCTCGATCCCAAGTACTTTTCGCAAGCCTCTGGTGATAGTGTTGTCTGCTGCCCTCTAACTCGACAAGGATTCCTTGAGCAGTCTTTCTCATAGCCTGGAGGTTTGACATGGCAGATTCATTTTCAGAGGCGTCGCATACATTGTCAAATGCAGCAATCCAAGACGAGAGCATTGAGATGCGGCGGCTGATTTGTCTTAAGCGGAGCATACCATTGATCCTCTCTTGTCTTTCTGGAGCTGAATGTTCATAGGCACTACGCAGACGAGCAACTCCTTCACGCACAATTATATCCTTCTTCTCAGTCTGCTTCTTGAGCTTTGCCAAGGCAACAGCTTCGGAGTCCTTCCGTTGTTGCTGGAGTTCTTTGATTAAGGCCATTTGCTCATCAATTTTAACCAGAAAATCTTTAACATGGCGATTTACGTTATAAACATTTCTCGTAACTTTTGTTTGGATGTTCTTTGCTCGATTCGCGTATCGAAGGGTATTTTGGGTTTCGTCAAAGTGTTGGCTGGATGGGCTGACGCAGACAATCATCACGGTCTTACAGTTTCCTCCCAACGAGAATTTTAGGAGGCGAGTAAGCTTCGAATTACGGTATGGAACATGGTTGTGCTTCCTGGGGTCACAGAGCGCATTTATACAACTTCCCAAAGCCAACAGAGATCTGTTGATGTTAGCACCTTCAATTAGTCTTTCTCCTCTATTTTTCGTTGCACTCGCCCGCTCACTTCCTGCAAGGTCGATAATGCTCAAAGTTGCCATTGTATGGGGTTCATTGACATGCGCATTACGATCCTTTTGTGCCACGTTTATCTGAAGAACGGCATGGGATCGAGATGAAGTTGCGTTCGCTTCCGTTGGAGACATTGTTCGATACTCATTTCCTCTCACAATCATGTCCATCACTTCCTGGACGTTCTGGGGGTGGTGGCTGGTTAGTCCGGCCACAGAAACGGTCTGGTTTGCGTCCTCGCGGAGCATAAGGCCGCCCTTCACATTATTGTTGGGATTGAGCAGGTCTCGGATGGTCTCGTTGTAGATTTCTAGGTATGACAATGATACCTCTGTGACTTTCTCGTCTGTCCTGTCGGCTATTCGCTCAAACAATTCTTGCATGGTCAAGAAAATAATTCCCGGTTGCTGAGCGGTTCCCGTAATGGTGTGTGTTTTCCCACACCCTGTGGCACCGTAGGCAAAAACCGTGGCATTGTAGCCATCCAACACACTGTCCAGCAGGTTCCGAGTTGTTGCTTCATAAACATCTCCCTGGGTCGTGTTTTCGTCGAACACTCGGTCGAACATGAAAGTCTGGTCCTTCACGCGCTTTCCATTTGGGATGACTGATTTGGAGAACCGATGAACAGGGTTGTCTTCGGGAGGGTCAAAAACACTAATTGAAAATCGTTAGACGTTGTACACATTGGTAAGGGGAAGACATCTTTACTCACAGGCATTTGGCATCTACAACCTTTATTACAGGTCGAAGGCCCTTCTGTATCAGTTTCGGGGATGGGTTGGCAGCAAGGGAACCGTCCCCAAGGAACAGCATGGAGTCATCGCATTTTGTAAGCTGGGCAGCTTCTCGAATTGTAAATGGCCGGACGCGAACTGTCACTGAAATCGAAGACGCGCTGCCCGAAGCCGCCATGAGGGCGACGCAGTGTAAACAAGTATGTGTGCTCTGTGAATATTCGTAGATGATGAAGCTAAGATGGATAAACAGACCTCTATACAGAGTGCTAAAAAGAGGAAAGAAACAAATGTACGAAGATATACAGGACAAGAAATAAAGAAAAAGAGCAATAGAAATCCACTGAATGTTAGTGTTGTCGACAGTGAAAGAAGTGGAAGTTAAGGCCGTTTGGAGGGTTTGGTACTCGTCAGTGCCAGGGTCAATTATTATTTACGGGGTCTTGTTGATCATGGCGGGTGTGGAAAAACGTGAGTCCGAGGCCGGTTGCCATGGCAGCAGCACATCAGGTGGGGTGGACATTTTGAAATTCTGCTGTGGAAATACCAAGAGTAAGGTAAAAAATCATCAGGAATTGAGGGAAAGGCTCTAAAACCACGGGCCATTGATGTTATTTACACGCCCCACCGGAACTAAGTTTCCATCTTACGGAACGAAAGGTTGTTCTTGAAACTGTTCGATGCTCAGTGGTCACCTATAACTCGTGGGATGCAAAGAAGAGTACAGTACCTAGTTCTACGACTTTCGCTTTGGTATCGAACACCGTATGTGTATGGTTTTGGATTGGAATCTTGACAGGAGACCTTGTGCTCGTGGACCGGTTAACCGTTGATTTCATTCTGGAATGTAGTGATTTACATGGCCATATTCTCTACCATTGTGATAAGGTTACCCATTGTTCCCGGTGATATGAAATATGAGCATATGTGGTTGCCATGAAAACCCCAAACTCCGAAGATGCACCCTCTGAGCTCATGAGCATGGAAGCGCTAGCGGACTCCCCAGATTGTGACAGGACAAAGTGAGCCTAGGTATAGGTATATCACATTGGTATCTCTAAAATGGCACTCCGCACAATCGCAAAAGGTTTTAGAGAGATGGTCCTCCGCGCCATACAATAAAAACAAGTTGTGGCAACTAGGCACCAAAAGGCAGCATATCATATTTGTGTCGGATATACTTCCGGAAACGTTAGACTTCACACCCCTTATTCATAAACGTACCCGCTTGATGATAGTGTCACTCGCCATCCTCGGCGTCATATTTTGATATCAAAACGTCCCAGCCAGGGTCATCAAAGCCGATTCCCAGTTCATCGTCATCTTCTCCTTCAACGGGTTTGTGGAATCTGAAGGCAATCGCGTGAGAATCTTTAAGACCTGATCCCTCCGGGCTGGCGATTATAGTCTTTCGACCTCGTAAAGGTTGCTTCTCACCGCTTTTATCTCGCGCAGGTGGTTTCATTATTTCCCAACCTTTTTCCAGGTTATTTCTGTCAATTGGTATTCCAAATTCGATTTCAGCTGGGTCTTGAGGGACGGGTTGGCCGTTGATTTGGGTAATGTTGCGGACTTTCAAAGCCCGCAGGAGCTCTTCCTTGATGGAGTCGAATGACTGGACAGGCGACACAAGGAGGAGGATTGTAATGTTATGGTTTTTGAACCTGAGAGTCCATTTGAGCGAGTTAGGTTCACTCTGCGTAATGTCGTGGGGTTAGTAAAGGATCAATCACAATGACTATACCTGCTTCATACCGTTCACTCACCATTTTGAGTAGCGTAATTTCCCTCAACTTTCGAGCTTTTTATTCTTGAGCGGTAGAGAGTGCTGTCGTATATCCATTGGCGAAGATTACAGATCTTGGTGACGTCGGGGAAACGTTTGTCCAATCGGAGCTAGTTAAATATTTAACTACCAAACTAGTTACTGCCGCTCAGTTCAACCTCGAGTTAAAATTAATTAAATCGCAGCTACAGAACTTTTCACGATGCCAGCAACGAACTTTGAGCTTCTTCCAGGACATTACTAATTGTGTGTTTGAAATTAGTTTGGACTACCGCCCATTTATCACTGTTCTGCATTTCCATTTTCCCTTCATCCATCCCTTATAACTCTACGTTGACGCCAAAATATGGGATCCAAACAGGACTCCCTCCCTCCGATTGTCGGAAATCAAGACCTGAGTGCCATGTTTGGGCATACCGATCCTTCCCCTCCTCGCCTTGGTATCGATCCCGTCGTTCGCTTGCCAGTTACAATGGTCGCTGCGTTTGCTGCTGGCATGGTTTTGGGAGCTGGTCACGGCAGTACAAAAGCAGCATTTCAATACCGTGCCGAAAATGCACATAGACTACCAACCACAACAATGGGCTGGTATCACTATCACAGAAGCAAAAATTACAAATCTCTGGTTGGGGGCGTGAAGGATGGAATGAGGATGGGTATGAGGCTTGGAGTTGGAGCTTTCACATTCTGTCTGTTTGAGGAGACTGTTGACCATGCCCGTCACGGCCGGCAAGACTTCCTCTCGACGGTTACTGCCGGCCTGACTTTCTCCGGTGTCTACAGCTTATTTGGTATGCTGCCGCTATATATACATTGCTTACACTTTACCTTTACCTACAGTTTGCCTGTAGTATATATTTGTCTATCTTTCGTTGCTAATCAGCAAGGTTATAGCTCGTCATGACATATATACCGCAGCACGAACAGCGAAACTTGGTTTAAAACTGAGTCTTATGTACGGCTTGATCCAAGATGCTCTGGCGACCATGAGAGGAAATCGACCTGATTACATCGATTTTATTTATCTCAAACTTCGACCACAGAGTGGGGCCAGTGATGACGCCTAGTCTTTTGTTATTTGGATATTTACAAGATCCCGCAACAAAACTCAGTGAAGGAATTATTGAAACGATAAAGACTTCCCAGCAGGACTTAAAAGATTCTGAAACAGTTCTCCACCGTATCCATAGTGATTCCTTCTCAATGGCCAGAACGGCTTTATATACTCTTCCAAATCCCAAGAATCCCCTTGACCAAAACGACATCGGCGGTTTTTGAGCCTAGCTATTTCGAATTACGCCCGGCCCTCGATATTTCAATTTCATAAACAGAGCCGACAATTTTTTAACAGAGTTCGACTGTACACAGACACTCTATTCACTGTGGCTAAAATAGCAACGTCAGAACACTCCCAGCAAACCCTGGTGAGCTCAGCGGTAAACGATGGCCACGATGGTCGGAGTATTCCCGGATTTTCCGATAACCAACAGGAAGGACAGCAATTCCCGGATTCTATCAACCCCGCTCACTCCAGCCGTCGTGGTGATGACCCTGCTCCAGTGCATCAAAGCAGCAATCCTACAAACACCTCTCCTCGTGACAGTTCCGTTGGCAAGGCACAACCCACTGATGAACCTGCAGAACATACCAACTAAAGGCATCCGACAGGACGTCCTTCAAGACAAGCCAGTTTTGGAAATACCAGCGCTGGTTGCAACGAAAGACACCCCCTTCACAGGCGCTCGATGGCAGAACACTTTTGGGCCAGACATGTTTTTTGTGACGCTTGGGAGGTGGATGAGCTTCACTTCATACACTCAAATCCACCGCTCCGTTTGAACCCATGCCGAGCTCAGCCTCCACGCCACCACCTAGGCACATACCATGGAGCGCTCCTTTTGAACAGGAGAGAAATTAGGCAGGTTGAGATGGTGAGCGGTCTGTCCTATGACTTGGTTCAGGAGCTGGCGGAATGCGGGGATATAGGCTTGCATGAGCCCAAGCGGTGACCTGCTTATAACAGCTCGAGCTATGGCTATGTTTTCCTGCTGGGGTTACTTGCAAACTGCAGAGGTTCAATGGCGGATCTCCGTTTAATATTTACTCGCTCTAACGCTGATATTTTATTTTTATTTTTATTTTTATTTTTTTTCAAAACACCCTTTGTCTTATTTCTTCATTTGGTTTGCTTCTTTACAGACAAGAACTATCTTCTTAAATCACAAGTCTTGCTTTTGTTCAATATAGCAGAGTGAGCATAATCTGGCTATTCTTCATTTAAACAGTCCACGTGCTGCAGATGGGTGTGTCGTTGGCCAACCTTTGATATTCACAAAAACCCAATCAATTCAATGAAAATATGAAAAGATATCCTGTTAAGCAAGGATAACCTTTATAACGTACCATTCGCAGAAAAGTGTACTTGACGTTATGTGTATATTGTCATATATTATATTGTTTTAATATTTACGACTTCTTTCTAGAGTCCGCATGCGTATAAAGAATCTACATCTTGGCGAGGTACATCGTCAGCTGTGTCGCTAGCTCGAATATTAATGTAAAAAGCAATATGGGGAACATTAAAAGTCGTCTCCCTCCTCACTAAACCCTAATCCAGGATACATTTATTTTTTCCCGATTTTTCCCGCGTACTGTCACATCCAATCTGGTTTCCTGTCGACGCAAACTGCGGAATCCCCCCTCGCGTGCACCCAAATAACGATTATCGCACCTTGCCAGCTCTTCGGTGGATTCAAAGGCAGCCCGCCATAAAAATTGGCAATGGTCAAACCCAAAATCTCCCGCTGATGCGGGGGAACCCCCACCCCACCAGGCTATCTCGACGAAACGTTTTAACGCGCTGCTATTTTCTTCCCTTTCCAAACACGCCAACCTAGAGCGTTTGCCCGGGAAGAACGAAACGATGCCGTCAATTACCTTCAAAAGCACTCCGCGGCCCTCACTCAACAAAATCAAAGAGTAATAAACTACCTCACCAGCGGCGGGAAGGTCATTCGCACCTGTATGTTCAGCAGCTGCATCCGACCGTCAGACTTCAATGAGGTTTGGTTCAGCGTCCCCTAAGAATTTGGGGGGGGGGGGGGGGGGCTATCAGTCGTACCATGGTCAACTTGAAGCTGGAGGTGGCGAAGACTCTTAAAATCTGCGGAGTCGCTGGCCGAATCGTATAGTTAGCGAGAAAGAGGTTATTCTGTTATTATTCAAGAAGGTGAAGCCCTAATGATGCGCTGTATCTTCCGTGCAGGCATAGTGAGTGGCTGAGCCTCAGGATTGCTTGGTGTGGCCCTGGGCAAGGGTTTGGGGGATGGGCAGGTTGGATATGTGGGAGACGTTAATAGGGGAGAAAGAAAGCCCATATGGGTTGGTATTGGGGGCAATGTTGTGGGTTTCAGAATATGTATATATGTTTTGAGATGGGTGTGCGGAATCAGAATGGTGTCAGGAATGATAATTTTGCTCCTAAGGCAGAGAAGGCATTTTTGAATAATCGATATATCTTAACATTGGTTCCGCAGAAGTTAACTCGCCCTAAAAATATGTGAATGGCAGCATGCGAGCCAGATTCGATGTGATATTTACCTGTGGATGTCATATCTGCTGAAATGAAGCAGGATTTTTTTGCCTTTGATCCATATAGAGTGGATTATTCACTCTCTTTTCACTGTGCTCCACAAACTACTTCCAAGAAGCTATCTATAGACAGACGATTAATTAACATTCTCCTCAGCAGGCCCAGTTGCCTTCCAGAATGCTTTGCTCGGACGGGCCATTTTCTTTCGAGGCTATCTTTTTTCTTAACTAGTTACCTACTAGAACAATCGTTGGCTTAAGTCATCATTGAAATTCTGCAAGTAGTTAACTATATACTAGTTGTGTCATTCTGTGACAATGCAGACAGCAAAAAATTGCCCCTCGATCTCATTTCTGAGGAGATCATAAAGCTTTATTCACTGTTCAGAGAGAGCTCAATCTCCACGGCATTTCAGACTGCTGGCGATGACGGATTGATTTCAATGTCCATGACAAGAATATAAAGCCCACAGAAGAACATCGACGTCTGATCCACACACGGTTATCTCTCTCTCTCTCTCTCTCTCTCTCTCTCTCTCTCCACCTAGTTACCTACCTATCTTTGCCATCCGAGGTGCGTGTGCTTTTTGCGCAAAGGCTGAATTATGTAACTGCGCTGTTTTCTGTGGAGGCTGTGCCCCACGAACCTTTTGACTTGCCTTTGACCTACCCTTGGTTCCCCCCCATAGACCTGCCCTTTTGGTCGCCGTTTTGGTTCGGGGGCAGTTGGATGCCAAGCCTCCAGCTTTGACAGGGCTCCACACCTCAGGCAGCAGCAGCAGCAGCAGCAGCAGCAGCAGCAGCAGCAAGCAGCAAGCAGCCAGTCGCTCTCTCTTGGCTCCTTCCCGACCCCCCCCCCCCCCATCGTGACCCAAGCTTGTGTCGCCGCCCGCGGTTGAATCTTCCTGGCAGAAAACAACCACCAAACTCCCCCCCCCCCCCACACACACACAAAAAAAGACTAAACCACCCACACCCACACCCCACCAGAAGAAGACCCTCTCCTCTCGTCAACCTCTCTCTCCCCTCTTCTCTCTTCAGCTTTTGCGTCTTATATATATCCCGCTGTCAGCGTCAGCTTTATCTTAAAGCCAGTCATGCTTGGAGTTTGAGGAGCTGTGGCGGACAAGCGCCTTATTTAGGGTTTGGAATAACCAATTGCACCCGCCCCCCCCTCCCCGCCTTTAATCGCCTCCCTTTCATCATCCTCGCTCCCTCCATTGTTCCCATTTTAATTACTCCGATACTGGTGTGCCAGTGCTCCAGTTAAAAGCTTCAGCACATCCCACCGCTGGCCTATATACGTATGCATACTGTGATAATCTTAGGTACTTAGGTAATATCCCTTTTGGCACAACTAGCTCCAGCTCCCCCGGTGGTCGGGTGCGGTTTGACTGCTTTCCTGTTCTGATGTCTTATTGGTCCTTCCGTGATGATAAGATCTCACCTAAACTCCATACTAACGAGTTAATTATTCTATGCATGCGCAGGAGCAATTGTTATAATATCCTCCCCGTCAACCTGTTATGTCATAGTTCATATTCCGCCAGTTTTTCGATACTTAAACCAAAAAACAAAAAAGAAAAAAAAAAAAAAAAAAAAGGAAAAAGCAGCCCCCGAAGAAGAGGGAAACAAAAGAGAAAGACAAACAGCTTCCTGTCCAATTTGCACACGGCCCTGCAACAACCATCATAATGTCTCTTCCTCGAACATAGCCGGCCCTTATATGATAAAATCCAAATCGGATCTAGAACTACTACTAGGAACAATGAGGAGACACAGCAGGGGGAGCAGCGGCGGGCCTGCAGTCGTAAACAAATCTGCCACTCCAGGTTCTGATCCAATGTCCCTCATCCGAACTTTCAATTCTGAGACCAACCCGTCGCGGCCTGTACGCCCCTCTCCGCTAGCCGCATCGCAAATACAAGGCATGCCTCTTGACCTAATCGATCGAATACGTTCTTTCCCTCTCTTCCAATCGACTCCAGAATCATTCCTTGCGGAAATTGGCCTGCACCTTCGCCCGCAGCTGAACTCTACGAACGATTACATCTTGACGGAAGGCGATGAGGCAAAAGCGATGTATTGGCTGGTTCGTGGAGCTGTTGCAGTCACATCTCGAGATGGCGAGAGTGTGTACGCGGAGCTGAAGCCGGGCGCTTTCTTTGGGGAAATAGGTGTGCTGATGGACCGGCCACGCACGGCGACGATAATTGCCCGCACCAGGTGTCTACTTATCGTGTTGACAAAGGAGGATTTTAAGAAGATTCTCCCAGCGTTTCCGGAGGTGGAACAAATGATCAGGGAAGAAGCTGAAGAGCGATTGTTGATTTTGGAAAGGAAGAAAAAGGAACCACAGGCGCAAATCGACGCCATCGGAGCCCATAAGCGTGTGACGAAGAGGGTTCGCGATGCGTTTTCGGGGAGCTCGAGCTTCGACGACGAAGATGGCCCGGGTGGGAATAGTATCAATAAAAAGCGCAAATCTCCTAGTCCCGGCGTAACTCAGCATTCAACTTCAAGTGCCCTGGCTAATGGCCTTGTCAACGTACGATTGCTTTTAAAAGAGCTACCCCTCTTTGCTGGTCTTCCTTCAAACATCCTCCATTTCCTAGGTCTGAATGCGCAACCGCGAACATATCCTCCTTTCACAGACATCATCCGCCAAGATTCACAGGGTCGAGAGATATATTTTATCGTACGAGGCGAGGTGGAGGTTTTAAATGAACGTGGATTACGTCGAGGCACAGATGCTGAGGGTCGGCGTGAGGTCCAGGTAAAAGCTCGACTAAAGGCTGGACAGTACTTTGGGGAAGTTGTCAGTCTATCGCTCGCACCGCGCAGAACAGCAACCGTTCGCTCCGTCACATCCGTTGAATGTCTAATGATAAGCGGTGAGGTGCTATCAGAATTCTGGGATCGCTGTCCGAAACATATCCGGGAGCAGGTTGAAAACACAGCCAGGAAACGATTGGTCACTTCAACAAATGGAGAGGTTGAGATGGACGATGCTCTTGCAGATCAAGAACCGCCTATGGATGAGCTTGTAATCAATGGGAATTTCCACGGGTCTGCCAGGAGACAATCGATGCCCCTGCTCACACTCACGGAGACGGAGCTGGACAGCCCGCACAAGCCATCTCTAATAGAGGACAGGCCTACAATGGAACCGTCTGACCCAGACCCTTTTCTGAGCATAAGCATTGACAATGTACGTGCTAGGTCACGGCGTGGCTCTCTTGTGCCAATTGACCCCGATGGCTCTTCTCCGGATCAGCAACTGCAATCCCCATTGCGCCCTCGATCCGGTACTGCGACCCCTTCAAAACTCGCATCATCTGAATATCCTACCTCTGTCGCGTCTCCCAAACAACCCACTCCGTCATCCTATGCTTCCAAGCATTCCAGTAGATGTTGTCTCAACGATGACATTCTCCTTGCCATTTTCCAGCAACTTGAACTCCACCACCTCCTTCCTCTCCGCGCCGTTTCACGTCACTGGGCTGACATCCTCACAACATCACCCCTGCTTCTTCACTTCTTGGACCTTAGTAGCTACAACCGGAAACTTACCGACGATGTACTTGCAAACATTATATGCCCTTTTGTCGGCGATAGACCGCGTACCATTGATATGAATAACTGCTTTCACATCACTGATGAAGGATTCCGGGCATTAGCGAATACCTGTGGGGCAAATCTCAGAGCACTGAAAATGAAGAGTGTATGGGATGTAACGGCCCCCGCAATCCTCGATATCGCCAACAAAGCGAAATCGCTACAAGAAATTGACTTGAGCAACTGCCGAAAAGTCAGCGACACCCTCTTAGCCCGAATTGTGGGATGGACAGTACCCAACCCTTCATTCGGACAGCATTATATTAACGGGAAAGCGATCCAAGCCGCTAAATGGAATGGAAAACCATTCCTGCAAAACGGCGTACAAACTGCCTCCTCTTCCTCTGCAGGCGGAACTGTTGTGGGCTGCCCTGCTCTTAAGCGCCTTGCGCTGTCATATTGCAAGCACGTTACGGATCGCTCGATGCACCATATAGCCTCCTATGCTGCGTCGCGGCTTGAAGAGGTTGATTTGACGAGGTGCACGACCATCACTGATCAGGGGTTTCAGTATTGGGGGAATGCGCAGTTTGTTCGGTTGCGCAAGCTGTGTTTGGCGGATTGCACCTATCTAACTGATAGCGCTATTGTATCCCTGACCAATGCGGCGAAGGGGTTGCAGGAACTTGACTTGGTACGCTCACACTCCACACAATCCTTAATTTTCGCTATTACTAACGATTATTAGTCCTTCTGCTGCGCCCTCTCCGACACAGCCACAGAAGTCCTAGCCCTAGGCTGCCCCCAATTAACGCACCTCAACCTATCCTTCTGCGGCTCCGCTGTCTCAGACCCTTCCCTCCGCTGCATAGGCCTGCATCTCATCCTGCTCCGTGAATTGTCGGTCCGCGGGTGCGTGCGGGTTACGGGAACGGGCGTCGAGTCTGTCGTTGACGGATGCAGTTTACTCCGCACTTTCGATGTTAGTCAGTGTAAGAATCTGGCGCCGTGGTTGGAGTATGGGTTTCATCGGAGGTATGGGGATAAGATTCGGTTTGAGACTGTTTCTTGTGGGGGAAGGTTGGTTCGGTGATGTTTGTTGGTGGGTGAGTCCACTCTTGCTTTCCTCCTATTAAAGGCTGGGAGGAGTGTGTAGTTCTCATTTCTCGTCCGCACTTTTTCTTCCCACTTCTGGAATACCTCTTTATCTTCTGTTATCTCTCTCTCTCTCTTCGGGAATATTTGGATGTACACCATATTTTGGATGTCTGAATCTCAACCTGAGTTTATATATATATATATATTTAAGCTCTTCTATTTGCAGAAATACCCTGTGACAACAATTCCCATGTTGTTTTGCTTCTTGTTGGGCATTTACCTAACACCTTTTCTCTTCCCCCGGGCGCCCACATTTTCCGTCCCATTTTGATGTTTCATATATGAGTAACATGATATCCACCACCTTCAATATTTCCCGTCACCATTTCTTTCATTTATCGTCGCATTTGCTATCTATTCTTTTTTGGATTGAACTGTCACATCAACCGCCAGATTTGGTATCTGGCCGTTGAGGCGCAGTGGCTGTTTTTCTCTTGTTTTCTTTCGTGTTGCGCAATGACGCTTTCCGGGTTCCCCAACCTAGCTTTTTATTCCTCGTTCTGGCGTTTTAATAGAGGATGGATTGATGAAACGGTTATCTGAGTCTCTTGAATATAATCTTGTTTGGTGAGATTTCGAGGAAACATTAACTTCTATTGGAAACCAACGAGTACCCGTATGTACATGTATGTACAGTTCTGTACTTGTCTCGAACCCGGTTTGGTTTTCATCTTTTGTTTTCTTTTTGGATTTATTTTTTATTTTCGAGCACTGACAGGCAAATGCATCTCGATATGGACAAACTGCTACTTTAGCTTCTAGAGCTGTGAATGTCATTCTTTGCCTATCCTTTGTTTTACACCTTTACCTTTTGCCTGCTTAAAGTCGTTATGATTCTATGTACCTTTGTTGCGTACCATTTCGTACCCTTTGTCACGAAGAAGGTCAATGTCTTTATCACGACGCTCTGTTGCATTTGTTCCTCAACGCCTCTCTCGGCCAAACGAAGTGAACTTTCAAAGGGAACTTTCCCTAGTTCTTTATTTGAACCGAGAAAAATTTGAATTTTTGTTTCTGATTTTTGTTTTAACACGGCTGCGTGTCAAAGAAAGACACGTGAAGAAAATGTTATTGTTTTCTCTATTATGAAGCGAATGCAATCGTGTCACTGGACAAAGAAATCCTGGAATCTCCTTTTACGTCAAATTATGACTTCAGGCCGTCAAAGGTTGTCAAAGCCCAGATATACTTTTACGGCTGAACCCGAACGACTTGAATGTTCGACTTTTGCCTGAGGGAAGTGAATCATTAACTGAAAAAGGAAGTTTAACGTAGCCGTTTTTTAACGTTGCCTGTCAAAAGCATCTCACCGTTTGCTGGCTTACTTTCACCTTAACCCACCAACTAACTGGAGAAGCCCCGTACATTTTGAATTGTTTTGTTCATTCTTTAATGTTTTGTCTATCTCAGAGTTTGGCAGGGAATTTCCCAGATGGAATGACTATTTTTTTGACAGAAATATGACACAGAGGTGGGATGAATATATGCGTACATATCCGGTTCAAGATGCCTACAACTTTCCGTTATTCCCTTTTCATCACCTTCACTCCCAAATCTCGAATACTTACAAGGGGCGTAGAGGACCACAATATATCTTCCCGAATATCGCCTAACTCCCTTTTGCTTTGAAATATTCAAGTATTTCTCCACAGCCCCGTTTGCCGGCAATTTCCGCTCTTCGTCCACTGGAGATTAAGCAATGGAGGCCACAGGGAACCCTCACGATATTCACTTTGAGGACACGAACTACGCCGAAGCCCCGCAGCTCGATCCTCTTGAGCAGGAGTTTTTAGATCATTTAAGAGAGTCTTCGACCCATCAAGTTCAAACATTGGAGAAAGACTCAGGACTTTACGTCAAACTAGAACAAGATGTTGAAGTGGCTGAACTACCTGCTCCTGCGCCCCCACAAAACAACAAGAGGCGAACACGACGCAATAAGGATGACGTCGAAGAGCGGCAGGGGCGCGAGCGCAAAAAGCAAAAGATTCAAGAAGAGCTGAGAGAGGTTGAACTAATAGGATATATGGACGACTCGGAAGCGTCAGAGAACGCGGAAGGCGAAGAAGGCTTGGAAGGTGGTCAGAGCTACTTGAAAGACTCATGGAATGAATTACAGAAAGAAGCTGTCTTACGCAAGATTGAAGATCAAGAGGCACATAATCGTGTAAGCAATGGGGTAATAGCCCCGATGGAACCAGGTTCAAACAGCAATACACAGCCAAGTGAAGGTAAGGACTCTACCCTCCGGACCTTGGAAGCCTGTAATATGTGTAAGGTACGTATCTGGTTCAAAATATTTGGAATCCCTATTCTGATATTGAAACTCGCAAGTTTTTAAGGATTTCCCACCCTGAGCCCCCCCAACAGACCAGGTTTTTGTGACCTTCTTTCTCCTTAACTAACCACGCATATACAGATGAAAAAAACGAAATGCGACGGCACGTTCCCTCGATGCAAACCATGCGTGAGAGCACGCGTGGTGTGCTGTCATACGAACCCCTTTACGGGTTACCCAATTCCACGGGGAGATAGACAGAGACTGCGAAAAGAAAAGAAGGACTTAATTAAAGAGCTGAGAAAGCTACGATGGGCGAGAGGGCGCGTGATGGATCTAGAGGATAGGCTCATGCATGAGTATCATGATATTCGGATCCAAACTGAACGTGCCCAACGCCTAGGAGAGGAGGAAGAGGAAGAGAAAGAAGAAGAGAGAAAAGCTGAAGCCTGGAAAATCAATCGCAAAGAAAAGAATGATGCTAGAGAAACGGCGATACAGAGAAAGGTCAATGAGATTCTGGGGATTGGTCAATCTGATGTAAGTCAATCAACCTCAAAAGACATAATTTTTGCTCTCATGGCATTGTTTCCTCATCATTTACTAACATATGAACCTAGAACATGTTAGTTGGCATTGAGGAACGTCAAGATCAGGTTCAAGTACCGCTGCCGACACAGACGCCTGTGCATAGTTCTCAAAATATCGCTCACGATAATCACTATATCAACCAGACTCCAATATCAAGAGGTACGGCGAACGGTTACCATCCTTGAATTTCATAAACACTTTTCTAATAGCAGCTAATGTTGTTCTTCAGGAGAAATCTTTCCCCACCCTGGGTATCCAGTTAGCCCAACACAGCCGACCCAGCTCCCACATAAAAATGATATTTATGCTGCTGAACCCGATCGCTCGAAGTCAAAGACTCCGCTCAATCAACCCGGGCGCCGAACCGGACTTCAATATCAGGCCAAGCAGCCGCCTCACCTTCAAAACCCGTTTCACTCTCACCCCCAACCCCAGCCCCTTCCCCCGAAGCTGTACATTACACCCCAGGGAATAAGTGTGCAACCCGGTGATTACTGTAAACCACAACAAATACCACGTATAGAGCCCTTCGGGTTTTCACCACCTGGTCGTGCGCAGCAGCATGGTGCTGGCTTTCATCAACCGTCCTGGCAACAGCTGCTGCCACCATCCATGCCACGACGACAACAACAAGGACTGGGAATGGGACTGGGGCAGCAGCAACCGTATAACCCCAGGGGTATTATGAGACAATCGTGCCCGCCTGGAACGGGTGCGCAATTGCCACAAAGCCCTACGTTGGCTCAGGCAGCTTGGGGAAATGTAAGCAGTGAAGGGGATAGCAAAGGGAATTCCCGCCCGTTCGATGATATCGGTAAGCCTAGAGGCCGTCCGTGATATGGACAGACATTTTTCGAGTGAGAATATTTAGGTTCCTTTTTCTTCTTTTCCGGGTCCCCCTTTTTCGTCTTTCCTCTGGGTTGTTTTTAACTTTCATTATTTTTTTTTTTCTCAATTGCTCTTTGCTGTCGACGTGGCCAGCGAGGGGAAAGGTGCCATTTAAAGCAACGCAGGAAATGGCAATCTGCATTGTTAGAGAAAGGGCAGCAAAACAGGCGTATGGAATGAGTCAATAGGCGAGAGGTGGTAGTGAATTTACGTATGTTGTCCCCAGTGTTGCTTCCAATGATGTTTTCTTTCGGAAGGCTATTTATTGGGTGGGTCACTTCAGCACATCATGGACAAAGGCTCCCATGACTGTAGGATTGTTTGGATCAGCTTTATTCCCCCATGGAATTTGCTTTTCTATGTTGGATTTGGGCATATTTTCTTATCTTTGGAATGACGGGGCTGGCCTAGTTAAGGGAATGGAGAATTTAAGATAAAGAGACATATATAGGCAATGGAATTGCGGATCATCGCTATTTTTATGGGCGGTTCCTGTTTTTACACAAGCCTGATGTGCCAGTAGCTAGGTAGTGATGGATCGGAAAGGGGTTTAATAAGGACGCAATAATTTCCCGAATGTGACCTGGGGATACACGAAAGACACTTAAAATCCAAATATGATAAAACATCCAAAACATGAAAATGCTGAGAGAGATCAGCGCGGATTTTGAACCGGTTTAGGGGAGGTTGCTTGCGAATATAGGTGCTGCCCTTCTCGTGCAAGATAAATTTCAAGATCAAATGGGAAAGGGAAAAAATATTTCTACCCGTGATGAGATATATACAAAAAAAAAAAAAAACAAGAAAAATAAAAGCTAGGAAAGAAGAGATATCGATACCAAACACCATGTCTCGACTGGCCGGGTAGCATAATGATGTCACACCATTTCTCAAATCCAAGACCAAAAAGTCATCCCATCCGTACACCACTGACAACCAAATATCCTATCCATCAATTCATATCCGTAATGATACACATATATATATACCTAAATTTATGACAAAACCAAAAGATGTGGGGAAAAACACCATAAATCAAGCCCTCACCAGAGGACAATGAGCCCTCGCGCCCCGCTGCTTTCTCCATATACAACATACCCCTTTACTTTCACACCACTCCCTTAACAAGCCGGGCCAAACCTCACGATCCTCACCAATGCGTTCAAACCCATCAGTGTTGAGCCATACAGCCAGGTCCTCGAGCTGAATTGGATCATACATGAGTATCTTCTCGTACCACGTAGGTTGTTTCACTCCGTTGAATGCCCGGAGGCGAGGTTGTGCTTTTATGGCCGCCGTTATCTGGGTGTAGAGGCTGGGGAGAGATTCGGAAGAGGTTACAGTACTAGGAACCTTTCCGGAACGTATTGTTAAGGGGGTCGTTGGGAGATTGAATGATTCAGGGGTGTTTTCTCTGTCACGTGGTGTGCAGCTCTTTGAGGGTTGACGAGGACGTGATGGCGGAACTGAGTCTCCAGTAGAGTCACTTGTTTGGTCATCGTCAACCAGAATTGCGGAAGGAGACACGGTACGTTTCCTGGACACCTTGGATGTCGAGGTTGAACGCCTGCTTGACACGGGAACGCCCTGGGACTTCGTAGCGCGCTTAGCCGGTTTTACCTTGGGAACTTGCGTGGTTGCCTTCTGAGAAATTGAATTTGGTTGTAAATGTGGTCCTAATGACTGTCCCTTCGTGGGCTCATCAACTTTGGAAAGTCCATCTCCTGGTGTTAATTTTGGCACCGAGTTCGGTGCCTTATTTCGATTTTCCCAACATTTCTCAAGAAGCGAAATCATTTTATCTCTACTCTTTATTGGCTTGAAGCCGTATGCGGCAACCTTCTTCGCTAATTCTGAAGTGGTAAACCCGTTGAATATAGGTTTATCTTGAACCGGCTTTTCAGGGCTACCTACCGAAATGCTTGACCCGGATTGAGAACAAGAATTTGTGTGAGTGGGTTTCACAATATATTTATGTAAAACTCCTTTTTCGGATGGGGTTTCGCTTCGGGTGACAAACTCGGGAGGATCAATTGCCGCCAATGGCTTTTGACAAGAATTATCAGAGTCAATTTCACCCAGTTGGGGTGGAATTTGAGTATCCGCCTTGCAACCAAGTGGTGCTTTGGGCTGGAATGCAAAAATAGAAGGCTTCATCCGATGTTCTGACAGATCAATTTCGTCTATCTCAAGAACTGCTCCGGTCAAATCCCTAGCACCTGCAGACCATAAATTTTTTGAACTTGATAATTTCAAAAAGCCAGAGCCCAAACTAGCTTGTGAAAGTGCCTTAGATGAGGATTCTGACCTCGATAACGGTAGAAAAGCACTAGAATTGCTTATGTGTGAAGTTCCTTCATTTTGTTCATGTTGATCTTCCGAATGTCCGTTTGCCAGCTGGCTCGAAGTCCCAAACAATAACTCTTGCCCTCCAAATGCTTTGAAGGCCTCGAGTGGATGAACCACCTTGAATATAGGAGGTTCGTTCTTTTTCTCTGTGGTAGTTGACTTCTTTCTACCGGGCTTAGCGCACCTGGCACCCGACGTTCGTTTGGCTGCGCTTTTTTCCTTCCCGGGTTCGTCAGACAGCAGAGTCTCAACAGGATCCAAATTGACTGACTTTTCAACTACGGTGTATTTAGCAGTTGCATAAGAAGTGATTGTTGTTAATTTTGACTTTGGCCGATTTTTAGCCTTTACTCTGCGTGGCTTCGACGTGGCACTCTCAGAATCTTCGGTTATCGAGGACTGTCTGTCGTCTGAGAGGCCTGATATTTCTTTGAAGTTGTTGACTTTCAGAAGCTACAGTATAGTTAGAAGACGCCCAACACAAATGCGAAATGGAATGTGCAAATACCTCTATCGGACGCTTTGTTGTGGGAGCGTCAGGAGTGCCTTCCGATCTTGAACCTCCCAGTGTTCCCACAACACCGCTGAATTCATAATTAGACAACATTGTTCTCGTGCTCCGCATCCCGCTTAAACTTTTCTCACATGAAGATGGACTATCCCCAACCAAATCTATCACCGGTATCGTAGTATCTTTTGTAGGAGTCCAATCAAACCTTCTTTGGGTGGCCTGTTCAAGCTGTAACCCATCGTCCAAATCATTGATATGGTCATTTCCAGCGGGTTGCGTTGTGTCATTGCATTCCTTCGGTGCTGATATTTTCGTTTCTGGCTGACGACTTACAGTCTGGTTTGCCTTTGAAACTCTACCATGCAATTTGTAGTTGATTAAACCATCTTCTTTCTTCGTACGCTTTGTTTTCGCAGCTTTCTTCTCCGGTCTTGATTGGCCGAGAATGATCTGTTCCCCAGATACGATATGAATCTTTGATTGACAAGCGTTCCCAGGGCTCTCTGTTCTTCGTTTAAGTCTTTTCCCTGTCGCAGCCTTTCCTCCTGTTCCTGTTACCACCCTATTCTCCCGCCTAAAACTGTTTTCTAAGATAGGCCTGGTGTCCAAAACTTCCTTCCCCTGCGTCTTATCCCCAACAGTGTCTGATCTTGTGGGTCCACGCGACGTCGAGGTCGATAGAAAATCTAGCAGTGACGTTGGTGATGGCAGGCTTAACTGCGATGATAGCTCTATGACCTCTGCAGCGGTTGGAGAGGAGTCAGGAATAACGGGGATTATGGAGCTGGTAAACATCCGCCCGTCGGACGACGACTGCGTTGTCATAGTAGCGGGATTCATAGAGAGGGAGAAATTCGGGAGACACTGGTGAATTTATGGCCTCCCTCATCATATTAACTAATGGCCTCAGGCTTAGGACATCAAGTGTCTTTGTCGTTGTCAAGATGAGATAGATGTTGAGATGATGAGATATTTGACCGAGGAAGATGTTGGAAGTCTGGCGCAAGTTGGGAGATTTCCACATTGGGACTAGCCGGGTTGCTGGCCGGGCAACCGCGAGAAGTAATTATCACTTGGGCCAATTATCCGAAGGGAACGTACCGAGAGCAACCTTGGACTATATTTCTCTTCGTCCTCTCTACTGTAGTTGTACTTGTCTTTGGAGACTGTCGATTCTTGTATCGACGCGATTCACGTCTGATATAATGATATTCATTGAACCGCTCCTTTCTGCTGTCCTCTATCCTCCTACAGTCTATACAAAGGGTTGGTGACTCGTCAAACACCGAAGGAAGATAGATCATGATCACTTTGACTCCTATAGGACATGCTTCAATAATCAGGTGTGGAGTGCTGTCCATTGCCAAACGAAATGTGCATATCCCTCAATTATAAACTCTTGGATCCTTCGATACAATAATTCCTCTGGAAGAAACCCTCTAAAAAAATCGAAGCAGGACCTCTCCTGTCCAAGGGACCTCCATACACTCTGCGTACGGGTGAAACGGAGTAATATTGCGAACCGAAAAAAGGCGTTGACAAGAGGAAAATTGGTGGCCGTGGCTAGGCGCCTTAAATCTTCGACACAGTACTATACGTAATGCTCGAATGGGGCCGCATTATGCTTAATTACGCCCCTCTCAAAGCCATAAGACCAATGATAATCCTTTCAAGATCTTTCGCTTCAGCCTCCAGCGTAGCTGAGCTAGTAGATCCATTTTGACCCGCCTTGTTTGTTTCAGCTTTCCACCCCGGTTTCGCATTTCCGGTTCCCAATTTATACGCTTTTTTGATCTTGCTAACATCTGATACAAGACGTAGGTTCTCGTTATTAAAATCAACTGGGGTTCCTTCGATGACCTTCTGAAGATGTTGAGCTACAGACTCATTTGTAGCCTCCGGGGACGTGGAAACTTTGATCACCAGCAAGTCCTTCGTAGTATCGATTAAACCGAACTTGCGAAACGACTCCGCTATCTACCAAACAGTCAATAATGTTTGTGTATCTTGGTGGAAGAGAGAGGGAAAATGGCCCACAGACATTATTATTAGAGCTGAGAGAATATACTACTTCAGAATGAACATTCTTTGACTTCAGTCGGTGGTTTTGATAGTCATTAAGGGCTCTAAATACAGCTGTGAGGATGTGTGTGGTAGAGAGAATCTATATATCTTGGTTAGAAGTTTGACTTCATCTTCCCTCTAATGCTCCATTGCGGGTGCCACGCAATCTCGGTAAGGATATGTCCCACCGTACCATTGTAGCATCGATAAAGGCATATTCGAATTCAGTATTCCCGGAAAGGAGTTGTTGCCTTAAAAAAGATGCATTCTGGAGGTTTCGATATAAAGCAACGTGAACAGGCCGATTTAAGGGCACATGGGGGAGCTGTATCGTTTTAACGCCGGACATCTTGAAAGCAGCAGCTTATGGAACGAATCTCAAGGGAAGATAAATTGGCCAAAAACTCAGCTGCAACCAGCATATCTATAACCTAAAAATTCAACAAATCCAACACCTCCGCATATTCACCGCAAGGGTAATATAGCAAATTCTCCCGTTGGAAGAATCCCGCACCCAAAGAAGCAGTTAATATCACGTGATAATGACATCATTTCTGGAATATTCCGGATCCCGTGATCTGCGAAGCGTCAATTGGAGGCTGTATATCAGGTGACTAGACTTCAACTTCTTTCGCATCGTCTTGTTCTTTTAATCTACACATCATCCTATCTCTCCATCAAACCATGGCCTTCGTTCTCCGACGGCCGTTCGCCGTCTCTACGGCATTCAGACAGGTCCCCAAATCATCAAACATAACCGTTCGCTTCATCCACAGCTCTCCTCTTAAGCAAGGGCCCTCTTCATCCAAACGCCACTTCACTCTCGCCGGAGCCCGTCAGACATTCCAAAATGCCTTCCGCCGATCATACAGGCAGGTATCTTACCAGCCAGTACAGTCGTCAGGAGACCTGGCACGGAAGCTGATGTACGGTGCCGCTATCGTGGGAGGCACAATCGTCGCAACAAACTTGGTCTTCAACCGCGAAACAAGAGAAGACGTCGCCATGCCACTCTTTGAACGGCAATATCTGAATCAAACCTTCATGCACACCGGTCTCGGTATCGGGGTCATCAGCATTGCGGCACGGGCTCTACACACGTCTGGCTGGTCCTACAGGCTGATGGCGACAAATCCATGGGCCGTTGTCGGGCTGAGTTTGGTAGCTAGCATCGGGACGATGTATGGAACATTCTACACCGCGCCTGAAAAGTATGTATAATGATCTACTCCTTCATAGCCACCCCTGGAATATTTTATCTTCAAAGCAACTAATATGTCCCCACAGTTATATCCAAAAGTATGCGCTATGGGGAGCATTTAACCTGACCCAAGCCGCCGTCCTCTCCCCGCTATTCTTCATGTCCCCCGCTATCCTTGGACGTGCCGGCCTCTACACCATTGGCATGATGGGCTCCATCGCCTTCGTAGGCGCAACCGCCAAACAGGAAAAATACCTATACCTTGGCGGCCCCTTGCTCGCCGGTGTAGCCGTCGTTGCCATGTCCGGCTTTGCGCCTCTTGTCCTCCCCGCCACCGCAGCGCGGACGCTCATGTGGTCTGAGCGTATCTGGCTGTACGGCGGTCTCACGGTGTTTGGAGGGTTCACTCTCTTCGATATACAGAAGATCTTGCACCACGCTCGCATGGCGGAGAGGGGTCTAATTAAGAGGGATGCTGTTAATGAGAGTATCAGTCTCGAGCTGGATTTCTTGAATATTTTCATACGGATGGTGCAGATTCTGGCTTTGAGGAATAACCGGAAATAAATAATATTTCGAAGAGGACGGGGGGGGGGGGGGCTGGGGCTGTATACTAGTATCTATTGAGACGTTGGTGAGGAGAGGAATTGCCGGCCCGTCCGTCCATACGTGCCTTGCTTACACAATAAATCTGAAGAAAGAGCCTCTAGAAAACCTTTTCATGCGGAGGAAAATCTCCATTTTTCGGACTGTGTTTTTAAAAAAATAAAGAAATACCAGATAAGAAAAAAGAAACTGGAAATATTTAGGAATTTGTCACCGCATCCCTTTGAGTAAGACACCATATCTTAAATTAACGGTAATCCACTCCGAAGGCCCACATCCCCAGAGACACATTAATTCGTCTCCAAGAACTGCAACTGGTAGAGCTGAATTAGTTAAAGGAAGACATGTCGGACCCTTCCATCACGGGACCTATTTTCCACTATATGTAGTCGTTCTCGTAGTTGGCAACCTTTGCAATCAATCAAGCTTGCCGTTCTGTCAAGACAAGGGACCTTCTGAAAGGGGGTTACATATACCATAAAATCTTTATAAAGGGTGGGATATATCATGTGTTAAGGGGTATCATTGGAGATATAAACGACGGATATACAACAAGCCCTATAACTCCTCTTCGAAATGGAACAGAAAAAATACCCCGGGGTAGGAGCGCTGGTGGCAGATATATATACACGAGAAGAGGTGAAAACCAGGGTGTAAACAAATCATATGTAGAAGTGAAGACATCAGAAAACACCTCATCTCATAATAATAACACAACAAACCCCGCCACCAACATCACGCTCCAACCCGTCAGCCCAGATCTTAAACTCGTCGACTCCCCGGTCTTCCCCTTGACAGGAGCAGACACATTACTAGCACCGCACAGGCCGCTCCCAGCCATCAGATGCGCCGGGTAGAACACCATGGGCAACCCCTTCGTCATCTCAACCCCAAGGGACCCAGGCCAACCAATTGAATAATTCTTACAGCTCAGAACTTCTGTAACGATCAGCCCGGGCGTATATGAAATGCCCAAACTAAGGATATAGTCATTCCCATTCTCACCCTGAGTAGAGTAGACGACAAGCACATGACGGCCATCAGTCCCCTTGTGAATGGCGATGGAGCTCCCGTCTCTGTAAATGGGGTAGGAGACGGATGAGAGGTAGCCGGCGTCGGTGCGGATGACGTGGGAGCGTAACTTGTTGAGGGTTGCAGTTAGTTGGTAGAGAGGGTGTTTGGTGTTGTACTGTGAGACCCAGAGGGCTTCGCGATTCGCGGGGGTTTGGGATCCTGAGAAGTGTAGTTCTTGTCCTTGGTAATAGCTGGGGATGCCATCGGAGAGGATTGTGAAGGTTAGGACGTTCTTGGCGAGCTGAGGTGAGTGGGTTAGTAGAGTTCATGGGTGAGATATTCTCAATGTTTAATTTTTGCTTGCTCCCTCTAAAGGTTGTGCATGAGACTTACAGAGAGGTCTTGGACATAAGATGGGAATCGAGGGAGATCGTGGTTCTCCGAAAAGGTTACAAGGGCACTGGTATCACGGCAAACCTTTTTCACCGCGGCGAGTTCATCATTCAACGCAGTGATGTTTCCAGCAGTAAAGGCTTTAATCATGGCGAAGTAAACGGGGTAGTTCGGAATGCTGGGGATATAATTTTGGTAACTGCAGGCGGTATTCACATCGCTTTCAAACACCTCGCCTGTTGCAAAAACGCCAGACGCCTTGGCCACTTTCTTCAGGTATTCCGTGCCAACATGCTTCGCGGCATCAATTCGAATACCATCAACTGAGTAATTTGCAACAAATTCTTTGACCCAGGCCTCCATCATCTGTGTCACTTCTTCAGATTCCGTGTTGAGATCCGGAAGTGCAACGATGTCATCCCCTATCCAACATTTTTGCGCCTCATCGTAATTATTCCAGTCCTTAATCTTACAGTACGGGTGGTAATACCTTTGCCGGTTAAATGGGTTGAGGACAGAGTAATCGACCGCAATGGCAGGGTTTCTACCATTCGTTATGAAGGCCATGTTATTGATGACGATATCGACCATCAAGTACATCCCCCGCTTATGCACCTCCTTTCCAAGGTCGATAAGATCATCGCGAGTTCCAAAATGTTCGTTCAATTGGTATAGATCTTGAACCCAGTAGCCATGGTATGCTTCTCCGTAACTAACGCGACCTTCGACATTTTTCGAGACTGGTGAGATCATGATGGCATCGAAGCCCATTTCTTTAATATAGTCCAACTTGCTGATTATGCCCCTCCATGATCCTCCGCAGTAGAGGTTCTCGTTCGTATCGCATTTTGCCGAAGTCGAACCATCAGTCCTCGCAAATCTGTCCGTGAAGACCTGATATATCGACCTGGATTTCCAATCGACGGTGTCCGCTGCTAATGCTAGTCCGGCGAGGTAGCAGAGTATAAAAAGGCGAAGCATTTTGCACGGCAGCGGCAATCTTGAATTCGCTTCCTCTGGCAATTTCCATAGACTCGACCTTTTTCTAAGGCGCAAACAAAGCAATCGCCTTTAATAACGTCCACTGAGCAAATGGAAAGCAATTCGATGCTTTGCGATCACTTCCCCACTTAATTTTGCCACTCTTTGTGACCCGGGTAAGAACGAGCACAGGGTCGATGATTATTTGCGCCCTAGGCGTCCCATCATGGTGTTAGCTTAAAGTAAATAAGATGGGCGCTTTGAGAAAACGGGAAGGCCTAGTTTCCAAAGCGATCAAACCCCAAGTTAAGGGAAGAAAAACTTAAAATTCCGCCTGACTATTAGTTCTCTGAAATATGAATTCTGGAAGTTGACATAGTATTATTAGAAACCAACGATCCCATAGCGGGAGGATGTCTTTTACAAGTTCAAATTCGATTAGACTTCCGCGGTAATCGAAGAGTGACCTGACCCTTGCAATTGGGTTGCGACAACTCAAGGGGGGACAAAAATCCCAATGGGGGCGGGCCGTAAGGAGTGGATGACGTTAGTAAAAAAAATATCGATTAAATGGAACAATATAACATGCTGCAGGTACGCTGCACCGGGTTTCAATTCCCTCCGCGCGCGAAAAGCACTCTGGGGACCGCCACGCTGACCTATTCCCCGGAGGCTGGATCCACTCATTTGGCATTCAACTCCACTTCATCAATCGATCCAGCATATCTTCTTGGTGTGCTCTGTCGTGCCAGCCTTGCCTGCCAGTTTGAGTTTTGGTGGTATGCTCGTGATCCATAAGGTCACATCCAACGGCTGAATGGATCCATTCAGCCATGGAGCATTCAGCCATGGAGCAGCCACGGATGGAGCGTGGATTTGCCCGTGGATAGCAACCCGAACAAAGATAACATGAGAGACGTGAATGAAAATAGCTGAGATAGGAACAGCGGAAAACGAAAACAAAAAGAGAGAAAATCAGTTGCCTAGGAAGGAGAAAAGTCCGAGGGTTGATTCATCTGAGCCCTGGGAGAATGAATAGGTCAGTGAGGCTTAAAGTTCCGATTCCAAACCTAGAAGGAACCACAATATCACTGACCCCAATAACCCACTCCGTGCGTGTGTTTGGATACAAGATGTGGTAAGGAAGAGATGATGGTTGGCATCTAGGCAATCATACGGACCAGGTCCAGTGGGTGGCGATTAAGCGCTGAAGAAGTGCCCCAGAACCGAATCCCAGGAACACTAAATTCCCCGCGCTCTGGTCAGTTCACACAATCCAGGGGATAAATGGGATGGATGACTGCAGCATTTTTGCTACGGAGGCGGTTTGTGGTTGAACTGCTGGGACGTTGGAAGTCGCTAAGTCTTACGGTAAGGGTTCTGCGGGATTGGTGGCCTCAACTGAATAAAGTTTAGCTCAAATAAAATGCGGGGCCCAGGGACCAGCGGCGGGCCAGGCCCTAATTTACCAGAATGGAACAAGTGTTGGGCAACTGCAGAGCCGCTGTAGATTAGGTATTCGTGTGTTTTTTTTAGGTTTTTAAACTCCGGCTAAACCTTTGGGGAAAGTAACGGTTTAGTGGTTGCGGGTCGGGGAACCTTGATCTTTGTTCAAGGCAGCCTTAGCCCCGAGTTGCCCTCTCGGTTTCGGGCAGTTGAGGGTTACATTTGAATCTTTGGGTTTCAACATGTTGAACATTGATTTGAAATCTCGACTGGCAAAATCTTCAGAGAGTTTTAAACATTTCAAGATCTATGAATGACCTCTCATTAAAAAACTACTAGTTTTACATCGCACACTTATCTCATACCGATCTTCATATATTCCTGATAATAATAGCGATGTTATCATATCTCTCAAGTCTTAAATTTGAATCGTAATTTTAATTTAATTTTAATTTAATTTAACTTTAATCTATTTTTAATGCTGATTTCCTTCTTAGTATCAGAGTTAAAGTTAGATTAAAAGATTAGATTTTAATTAAAATTAATCAAGGATATGAAATATGATAGCAATCACTCTTATCAAGAGTATATAAAGATGGGTTATGAGATATGTATGAGACCAATCCAATTGATCTGAATGCTCAAACCACACTGAAGATTTTTGCAGGCTTATAGCTGAACATGATTTAAAATCTCAGCTGAAAAAACTTCCTTAACATGGTTTATGCTATAAATTATGACACCCCTCTATTAAAACTACATGAGCTAGTCATGCCTCACACATATCGATCCGCAGAGTGTGTAGACTGTTTATTTGATCATGGTTAAAATGGCGGGCCCCAGCTTCTATAAATCGACTTCCAACTTTCGAATTTTCCAGCTGAAGATTTTTTAACCCATTTCAGCCATTTTAAAACCACATTCAACTGTACGCCCCCTTCAGGTAAAATAAATGCCTAGATAGTAGGCAGATTCAACAGCATCAAAACTGATCACTGAGACTTCTATTTGGGAGTCTTTGATGGTGAGCTTTAAAGAACCTGCTCCCTCCGTAGATATATACTTGCCTTGAGATCTCACATACTCTGGCACTCGCCCAACCACATTTATTCCTCGTTGAAACCTCTGAGATAGCGAAGATTCATATCGCAGTGAACTTGTAGCTTCAAAAAACAGCGAGGAGGTCACGTATGATGCACAGGCATGAGGACGGAGACAAGTCCACGCGCATGATTCTCATACCAAAAAAGGAAAAAGATAGAAAAGAGAACTGATATGACCAAATTAGATTTAAGTACAGCTGCAGCTGAAGTTCGTATCTGTTGGGTTATTCTTGCGCAGTGAGATCGGAAAACTATACATCTGTTTAGGTATCTGCCCTCCTGTTGGTCCTGGTCCCGGTGTGACTTTCACCGGTTCCAGATAGGAGAACGACACAGGGTTTGGTAAACGGGGGTTGGGAGTACTTTTTGTGAGAAAAGCTGCTTAAAGACTCTGCTGAATCACACCCTGCTTTTAATATGTTGATGCAGGTAAAGAGAGATGTAACAACGTATTCCATGATTAACAGAAGCCAGGTAGCTAGCTTTTAAAGGATGGCTTGTTGGAAGCTTAGAGAAGACCTAATTGACTGCAAAAATTAAGGCGAAATTATAGTGTGATGACAGCAATTATAGTAAACACTGCTTCAGTTCCTCTAATCACCATCTTGTAGGAAAAAATAGAGTTCAACAGAGCTACAGTCACTTTGAAATCCAGATGATCTCAGAGTCAAAAAGACTGATGTTTGAGAAGTTTGTAGTTGTTTCATATAAGTTTCAGAGGCCAGTGTGAGAGGATTTAAACAAGCTGGGCAGCACTGCCAGAGTACTCTAGAGCTTTAAAATCAGCAATTTCATCACAGCAGGAGTTGTAAGTTGTAACGTGATTAAAAAGTGTTCAAGATATAAATTCCTTCAATAAGAGAGAACTGCAACAAGTGAAGCAGGTCTTGTACTTCATTGCAGACTGCAGACTGCAGATATAGTGAATCAGATATAACTGCAAAGGATTAAAAGCTGTAAACCATATAAGAGATGCGAGACTTGCTATAGAATATAATTCTCATACTCTGAGAGTGTTTGAGATAGAACTGCAAGAGATTGAGTCTTTCTTGTTAAGATATAGAGATTTCAACACCCCTGCTAGCTTCTGAAATGGTATGCCCATCTTATTCGCCAATGGCAAGTGTCAGCTGCTCAAGCTGTCTGCCAAGAAATCCATTATCCCAACTATTTTGCTATGAATGGCATCTATGCTCGTGACGATCCTTTCGCTCCTTATATGCAGAATAGTGCATCATATACACAATTTTCAATTCAACTTCTAAATTTTGAAGCATCCAAAGTAAAAATCGTAGAACCCACGTCCAAATTGGATAGATTTTTACCAGCCTATGTTACATGTTCCTGCCCACCATTGTCCCATGTGCCTCATAGCCTGGAACCTTCCAATGCAATCCAGTATCAAAGAGCCTTTTCGTTCCAGTTCCACTCTGTTTATTGCAACTAGGTAGAACGTTTGCAAGATACAGACCTGCAGAATGAGAGGGGTTGTCCGTAGGACAACGCCACTTAAATATAGTCTGAAAGTCAATGCTCCAAGGACGGAACTGTTAGGGATAGAGACCTACATATGAAAGCTCAAGAAGAAGGTAAACCAGACTTATATATTCGTGCATTTCCCTGTTTTCGTAGTACAATTAACTTACCATCCAGAGGCATCTGTTTGCCGATTCTGGTGGTACAAGTACAACAGGTTCCTGGTTCCTCGGGAAGTGAGGAATTCAAGCATACTTTGTCTTATTCCAACTTGGTTATCATGAGTTTGCCCTCATTGTGCTTGCACATTCCTTTCAATCGCCATAAAGCTCTACTTTCTCGTCGTATCGGCCTCCCTGAGCGTTTCCGCTCTTGCTTCACCGACTCCAATATCGCCGGACCTTTTGAGAAGGAACAACATTAAAGAGAGGGGTAGCATTCCTGGGTGGGATTGGCTTCGAGGTCTCGTGGAGGGTTCGAAAACTGGCTCAATTGTTGAAAATGGCATCAAAGAAAACAATGGTTGCCAGCCATTGACCTTGATATTTGCCTGCGGGACGGGGGAAATTGGTAATATGGGTGAGATAATAGGGCCACCTCTGGCAGGCGCGCTGAGAACGCATATGAACGGAAAAGTCACCATCCAAGGCGTTAATTACCCTGCGTCTGCCCTAGTAAACTTAGCCCGATAGAACAAGGCAGCCGGCAAACATTCGCTAACCGTAGGGTATAGGGCAATTTAACCCTTTGGTGAAGACGGTGGACCAACTATGGTCAATCTCGTGCGCCAGTCATTATCGCAATGCCCCGGAAGTAAGGTGGTCCTTGCGGGGTATTCCCAGGGAGCCTCAGTGGTACACAATGCCTCTGGCGACCTCAAGGCTGGCCAGGTAGCAAGAGCGGTGCTATTTGGAGACCCACTCCAAAGCATACCCCCACGATCCATCATCGAAAAGGACGTGATGTCAATATGTGCAGGAGGAGATGCTATCTGTCGAGGCGGTTTAGATATTCCGGCTCACTTGTCATACGCGGAGAACGCGAATAAAGCTGCTGCATTACTTGTAGGAGCGTGAACTGGAAATAATCAAGGAGTGGGGGGAAACAAAAAGGAAATTAAGAAAGAAGCACAAAAGACGGATCCCTAAGGGTTGAGGCGCAGCACATAGTACCAACTGCAAGTGAGTTGAAATATCAAAATTACCGGCCTCTATCTGTAGCTTCGAATATAAAATTTTCTAACTCTCCCCGGTTGGTTAAGTACCGATCTCCGCTGGTTGTAGAATGCACAGATAAACCTCTATAGATTGATAATGTTAGAGTTGAGATAACTGATAAGGTTTGGGACTCGCATTGCTTACCTAATCGGGCTAGCGTTCACAATGACAGGAGAAACTGTTCAGGAACAAGCAACAACTCTTAAATCTCACAAACCTCGTCGACACATATAAAGCAATAGTTTCACCCGCAAAGATGTCGACGGAAATGGAGATTGATTCTCCCGTCCTGGAGAGGCAGGATGATGACCAAGCGCCGGCCTCCCACACCACCAGGGAAGCGCGTACCCAGGCGGGCGCTGTCGCGGTGCGCAGTATTGAAGGCTGGATTGTTCTTGCAACAAACATCCACGAGGAAGCTTCTGAAGAGGACGTTACCGACCTATTTGCTGAATACGGAGAGATAAAGAATTTTAATTTAAATCTGGATAGGAGGACGGGTTATGTCAAGGCAAGCAACCAAATGAAGTCCTGCCCCTCCGCTTCCCCTCTCACTAAGTTTGTTTCGTATCTAAATTTTTTTTTTCGCCTGACTTACTCCCACAATATCTTACTACCTCACATGCCATATTGCAATGGAGCAATATTGCTAACCCGTCTAATAGGGATACGCTTTAATCGAGTACACCACCCTTCCAGAGGCAAAGGCCGCCATCGAAGCGCTTAATGGTGCCAAACTTCTTGATCAGTCCATCCAGGTCGATTTCGCATTCGTCCGACCACCACCCTCAAACAAAAGCAGGTCCGGAACCGTTGGAAATCGCAATCGGGGAGGCCGCGGGCGGAGCAGGAGTCGAGGTCGAAGTCGAAGCCCTGAAGGCAAAGCTGAACGAGGCTAAACGCGGCCAAGCTCCAAGACTGCTTTGAATTTGTCTAGCTCCGCGAACTTGGTTCTGAAGTTTCATTCTCCCTTTGTGCCGCAAAATAACGATACGCATACCGACTCACAACCCTATTAGAAAATGTAGGATGGCGAAAATGGGCAGGTAGCGAATACGGCTTATCCATGACGATATGCTTCTATTGATTTTCTATTTAGATCGCCGACTCTGTCTCCCTAATGACGTCTGCATCTAGTTTGTTCGCCCATCGCGTATAGTCTAGATGTAAACCGTCAGGGAAGAGACATGTCGGCATTCGATTATTCTAAGGCCTAGGTAAGATTCCTATACAGCTGTTTATCTTCCCAGTTTCTGTGCTAATTAAATAAGAATTAGGCGCCTTCATTAACCATAAAATTGAACTGAACGATCTACCTATTTTCAAATATCATCCCTGCTAGTTCCATTATCCCTTTCTTAGGTGTATTGCTTCGTCGATTGGATGTATAAACATATAACACTCATGCTTCCCAGTAGATCAAGGAATCCGCGTACGTACTAAGATATCAGCTTATACTTCAAGCAAAGATAGGATGCTGCTATCGGTCTTCATATGCCACTCTGCAGGATTTTCTTTTGGGTAACGTAATCGGACGCCTTTTGAACCAGGACACCTAACGAACCACTCTTCCAGCCCACACTCGACAAATTTTCAAATTAAACAACCACTAAGGATTTCATATAGAAATTATATAGAATATACCTTAGACCTGTGAGCAGCAAGGAGCTTTATGTTCTGTACTACCACATATACTACATCATGCTGGTGCTCACTTCTTAGTCCCTGGATTTGAATTTCCACAACGTTAACAGGTTGATTGAGCTCCCGAGCTCTAGTGGCTCTAGCTAATTCTTCCTGTGAGATTGAACTCTTTCCTGAGCTATATACATATAGATTTTCTCTCTTTTACTTTTGTCTGGCATTGACAGCTCTTAGCTTTAAATATCTAATATTTAATCTTGCTACTCTGCTATTTCAACTAAGTCATATTGCAAAATATTTGAAAGTTTGAAAAAAATTATGATCTATGAGATTCAGCAGGCTTTAAAAAGTAAAAGTATAAAATAAGTATATAATATATTGAATATTATCAAATAGTTAAATAATATAAAAACTTCAAAATATAAGATTTAAAATAATCAAATAAATTTTAATTGATTTAAAAAATATTTTAATAAATAGATAAAGCTTTAAAAATAAAATTATTTTTTATAGTATAATTAAAAATTCCATGCAGAGTGGAAGGACAAACAGCCTTCATCGACCAATCTGGCGGGCCACAGGCATTTCAAACAGCAAAGGAGATCGCATAAGGAGCGGTGGACACAGATTTGCCAAGTCAATTGGTTAGAATCTTTATTGGTTAGATTTTGGTTCTAATTTGTTCCGTTTGTTTGCTTCCAGTTCCCCTCATTTGGTTTGTTTTCTTCGCATATTTCATTCCAGCCTCTTCTCGTAGCAGAGAAAAACCGTCATTAAGAAATTGACATAGAAACCCATGTATAGATATACAACTGATATGAGTCGCTAGACATTCATCGACCCTGAACGATTAAGCCATCATGGCATACACAGAACAGCATCTAGGGGATTAGTGGAACTTTGAACAATGTAGCAGCTGGACATGTCTTGATCAACGCAAGTTCGATGTCTTTCTTGTACAGGAGGAAATATTACAGTAATTGCAGCACCCATCCAGATATTCCCTTGTATGCTGATGAAAAACAGCATTTTATATCGCGGCAGGCATCCTCTCGTCATCTCTGGTTGCCCTGCTCGTCTCGCTGTTCGACACTCGGGTTAAGAATAGCCTGCCTTACAGAGATTATAGGGCTTGAATATTGAACAGGAGCCTATATTCAGATTTCCAAATGGATTTCTAGCTAGATTTCTAGAGTGCGCAAGAACTTACTTTCCACTCCTCCTTAGAAGCTGGCCCACGCAAAACATCACAGTGCAGCTGTGTTATTTTTATCCGAAAACGCATTGGCGCAATTCTAATTTCTTTATACGATGACGACGAATAACTGATGAGACAAAACAAAGTGATGGATTTGTACGAAAAACACCTCAAACCCTCGTTTAAAGGAAGAGATATCGCCCTCCCACGTTTGAGGTTCAGCCTAGTGATAACTCATTATGTATAACACACAAATCCCATGCTCAGTATTTCAAACACTGGAAATATTCTGTTCACTTCAGAGCTTTTAGGGACGAGCACCTCTATGCACGCATGAATAATGAATGCAGCGGGACTTGACCCTGGTGCAGGACACTTCAATTGGCTTAGTGATGTATCCAGGCTGTCGAATTGCCATTGAATGCTTCACTGTAGGGATTCCTTTCCATCCATTTCCCTGCAGCAGTCACGATACCGTGTTTGGAGTAAACTCAGTCAAATTTTTAATTAAAGCTATACAGGAATCGGTCAATAGATGAGAACGTTGTCAAAGGTGTTCGTATTGTTCACGGACATAGGATATGAGGGCTGAAGGGAAAATCGAGAACCCGTTCACGCAAAAGTGTCGTGTCGGGAATACAACAAGTCCCTAGGAGCCATGTTACATTTATTTTTCCTCTTACCGAATATCAGGTGTCTTGCCTTGGGGTATACATAAATAGTGTAGATCAGTGGAGTGCTGGCCACCTTGCGCGGCGTCCATATGGTAGTCATAGGACATCCGACTTAATTCCCGCATGAAATGTGTATTTGGCATGAAGAGGGCTCCATTCAAAACTGGTGATTTTGAGCAATGAATAGCAATAATTGCAAACATGCCATATCCGCATTGGTAATTCCTGGATAAATCATTCCATCATCTGAGATCTCCAGAGCGTCCTCAACCTCTGCATCATATGCCTGCAGCCTCTTATCGTAGAGTCCGGATTCGCGCCGGAGTCGAAAATCGACATAATGTTGCTGGAAAGATAGAGTGAATAGATACAATTGAAAGGCGGCGACGAATTGCAGGAACACAACTAGAGGCAGCAAGGCGGCCAATCATAGTAGCACGGCTGATGCTCTTGAAAATTGACATATTTATCAAAATAGACAGTTATGTAGCTTAATGAAATTTTGAAAATGGAAGCGTTCATTTTTGGTAAGTCTCATCACATGATCGCGCTAACCAAGTCGGTAATAAAACGCGCCTACCTCAACGGGTCTGGTAAAAGCTTTCTTTCTGTAATCGCCTCCTCCTGTGCCGCACGGGCCGTTCCTAGTGAGCCGCACTTCCATGCAACACCATCTTTCAATCGACCCGCGACAGGCGATCAGTTCAGATGCACAACATTTCCCATGTTGGTGTTAAGCGGCAAATGGCCCGTAGCATGTCTAGACAAAAGTCAACTTGTATTATTGACTGGGCTTTCTCATTCACCATCCCAGCAGCTCTTCAACTTGCCTGCCTCACCCAAGAGAGGAGTGGAAGGCACTGTTGAACATCAGCTTTTAGATTTGGCTTCACCAATCACTTTGATAATAAGTTTCAGTGTCTGTTTAAAATATATACATATATATAAAAGCTGTAATGAACATTGCGAAAGATTTCTTTCCGCTGACAATTAGACAGCAGCTGACGTCAAAACAGCACGAAAACGCCAACTTCGCCAAAGAAGTGAAAGTAGTCCTGTCAATGAATTCAAACCCCGTTCAAATACACTGCTACCCAACACTTATTTGATGAGACAGGAAGCTTACATGTGATTGAATACATTCAATGATAGTGACATAAATAGTTACAGTAGTTGTATCTCACATATTTTAAATGGATAAAGATCAGAATAAATGAATTAATCAATCAATTAATCAATCATAATTGCAAAGCTGTATCAAAGTCATTACACAGTTTCAGTTCAAAAATATTTTGAATTTCAATAGTTAATATTTAAAGATTTTGATAAAATATTAAGCAGCTTTATAAATTTTCTTTCTATAGATTATTTTAATTATTTAATATATATTTAAATAATATTATAATTAAAGAATTTTCTATTAAAATAATATTATTTAAATAACTTTATTTATTATTCTTGATTAGTTATCAATTTAATTTATTTATTAATTTAATTTATTTGTTAATAATAAATAAATTAGATAATAATTAAATATATTATATTAATTAAAAATTATATTAATTAAAAATTATATAAAAATTTTAAAAATTTTTAACTATAAATTTTTAATTATTATAAAATTATAAAATTTAATTTAATAATTTTTATTATTTATAAATTAATATAATTATAAATTTATTATCTTCAAACTTATTATATTTAAAAGTTATAATTTATAAATTTATAAATTTTATTAGTTTTACTTTAATATAATAATTTTAATTATTAAATCTATATTATATTTTTATATATTAATTATAATACTTTTTCTTTAATTATTATATTATTAACTATATAATATAAATATTAATTTTTTATTAATTTTTTAATCACTTTACCTTTAATTTAATTATATTATAATTAATTATTAATTAATTAATTAATATTAAATTTAATTTTAAAAAAATATTTAAAAATTTTTAAATTTATAGATAATAAAATTATAATTTTATATTTTATATAAAATATATTATAAATAATTAAAATATAAATTAAAGTATATAAATATAATAAATTAATTATTAAAAATAATTAATTACTAATATAAAAAAATAAATTATATAAAAGATTAATTTTTCTTTTATAAAAATAATAATTCAGTATAAATAACTAAATTAATATTTTTATAATAAAATTATATGAATAAAGACTATATATATAGAGATAGAGATATTATCTTAATAATATTGATAAATGATATTACTTTAATAGTACTTTGAATAATATAAAGATATAACTTGAGTATTATTAAAGTTAAATCTTATATAAATAAAAGTATAGATACTATCTTTATAGTATTAATTTAATAATATAATTTTAATAATATTTCAATAGTATAAAGATATAATTTAAGTATTTTAAAAATTAAAATATAGCTTTTTATAATTTTTATTTTTATTTTTTTATAAAATTATCAATATTTTCAGTAATAATAAATAAAATATTAATTAAAAAGTCAGTAATGATAAATGACTTTATATATAATAAGTATAGTAATATTTTTTAATGTGAATTTAATTTTTTAAATTAATTAATTATATTTTTTTTATATAAACAATTTCTGATAATGATAATTTATTTATTATAATTTTATTTTATTTTAAATTTAAATTTATTATCTTTATTAAATAATTTTAAAAATTATCAGTTATTTTATTATTATTAAAGTAGAAAATTAGTATCAATATGAGAATACTTATAATAAATAAACTAAGTAATAAAAGAAAATATAAGAAGCTCTATAACTACAATTATAAAAGAGTAGATATATAGACACTATGAGTACTATGAAGAAATAAAATAGTAATAAATAAAATATAAATATAGAATTAAATAGTAGCTAATTACTAAATCTATTGAAGAAACTTTGAGAATTCAAAGTATTTATATATATAAATAAGAAGTAATAGATTTTATCTATAATCTTTTATGAGATGAAGAATTAGTAGTATAGTAATATAATTCTTCATAAAGTGCTGATTTTAAAAAATTAATTTTTGAGAAATACTGATTTGTGCTGATTTCAAGTGCTAAATCTTGAGATAATATTGATTTTGTAGAAGATGCTGATTTTAAAGTGTTTTGATAAATAGTGTGAAGATAAGTGCTTTAGTAAGTAGTGTGATAAGCAGTATGAGATAAGTAGTATGAGAGCAAGAAGCTAGTATAGAAAGTCTTAATATCACAGTAATATTATAAAAAGTGAATATTTATTTTTATTTATTACTCTCAATAACAGAAAATCAGATTTATAAATTTTAAATAATAATAAGTGAAAGAAATATTTTTGTGATCAGAATGAGCATATAATTATATACTATTAATATATCAACTCATTCTATCAGCTTATAAACTTTTAATTGAATAAAAATCATGAAGTTCAATTGAAAATACTTGAAAATAATAATATTTTTAAAAATATAAATAATGCTTTGATATCAGTAAAAATTAATATCAAGAAGAATATTAATATATTTATCAGTTTTATCATTATATTAATCTTTATAACATTAAAATAAATAATATTTTAGTTTTTAATAATTTAACAAATTATAATAGTATAGAACAAGCTTATATTCAATCTTCTTGATAGTATAATCATTATAGGCTGAGATAATCAGTCATCATACAGGCTGAAATGATCAGTCATCATACAGGTTAAGATGATCAGTAAATAACAATTGTCTAGACAATGGCAAACAACTTTACAATTACTCTGTGTATGAATAATACATAAATGTAGCAATCATCTGGCAACAGTGCTAGAGAAAAAGAGTTATATAAATAAAGTCTTTCTCAAACTCATCTTTTAGAAATCATTTTAGTATTTACTCAGATAGCTTATTTAGTTGACAATTGAATATCAGTTCATCTACATCTAGCTGAAGCTATGATATAATACTAAAATTATCTACTTTTCTTGTTCTTTTTAAAGCAGGTTTTTAGGTAAAAAAACTCTGAGAATTCTTATTTACTTTCGTTGTAAAATCTCTGAGAAAACTGCTAAGATATCAGAAGCAGTTAGAGAATTTGACAGTCTATGAAGATTAGACTGAGATATGATGATCCTGACTGAGAAGAATATGAGATTAAAAATTTCATATTCAAGAAACAATTTCTTGAAGTAATTAAAGAAGACTCAGAGTGAGTATATTGAGAAATTACTAATATTATAAATAAGACAAAAGATACTTTAGAAAAGATTAGAGCAAAATAAGATGAGCAGAGAAAGCAACTGAGTGAACTTGATCAGCAAGTGAATAGTCTGATAGAGAAACAAAATACTTTACAGCAGATAGTGAACTTTTTAGTCTCTTAAATCAGACTGATGAATAATCAACAGATATGACAATCAGTCAAACTTGATAACTCTAAGCATCTCATCAATGAAAAAGAACTGATATTCAAAAACTGACTCTTTTGAATGAAATACAAGCTAGCTGTCAACACTAACCGCTTTCTGACTGAAGAAAGCTGTATTGTCTATATCAAAAACTAAACTGATGATGAAGCTGCTAGATACTTAGTTTCAAAAATAAAGAAAGATCATTCTGAGAAATTTAAAATAGTTGAAAAAGTGTTCAAGTATCTACAAGAGATATATGAAGATGTTAATAAACTTGAAAATATAAAAACAAAATACTAATATTTAATAATGAGAAATAAAGATAACTATTATATATTTGTGATCAAATTCTTGCACCTGGTTGATGAAGCTCAGATTCATAAGAAAGATTATAAAGCAGACTTTCTTCATAAGATTTTCTTTGATCTTCAACTTATGATTATAATAGTCTGTATTAATTATAGCATCTTTCAAGAAATTAAGATATCTGCATTCAAGCTGCTCACTATATTAAGAGCATGCTAGGTTATTACAATCAAAGACTGCTAAGTCATAAAAAAACTTCAATGATTCAAAACAGCTATGAAGGAACTTTAATAACTCAAAACAGTTATAAAAAAACTCATACATCTTAGAATCATGAATCAACTCTAATCATACCAGCATAGACAACTGGGAATAGAATAAAGAATAAGAATTAAAAGAAGAATATAAAATACTTCAATTGCTGAAATAAAGATCATATAGCTCAAAATTGTTTATACAAGTAAAAGACAGAACTGAAGAAAGTAAATACTGAGATTGCTATCATCAAGTCAGAAAAAGATTAAATCTAAGAAAAGCCTTCTTTTCAGATAAGATAATTACACTAGAAACTTTGAATGTAAATCAGTTAATAAGTGAGAACCCTTTTACTATACATATCAAAGTAGTTTTTAATAAATATACTATTTCTACAAGAGCACTAGTAAATTTTAAAGCAAACTGCTGTATTCTTATTGACATAAGCTTTGCATACAAATGTGTTAAAGTCTTAAAGGCAAACTCTAAGAAGCTGATAAAAGATCATCAGATTAT